TTTTTTTAATATGATATCAAAACTTAATAAATTTAAGTTTTTGTATTGAGGTATTTTTTTACAAATTAATACACCAATTAGCATTAATTAGTAGTCACTCCAATTTACATCAAATCATGTTTCATCTATTATCCATCCAATTTTTTAATTAAAAATTGGTGTATTAATACACCAAATTCTTTGAAAAATGAATAGATCTATGATCAAATCATGTTCCGATTAAAAATGGAAAAAATTGTGATGAGCCAATAATAAGATACTATATAATTATGTAATTCAATAAAGTCTAATTAATGACTCTTTCAATGTGCCAAAAGAAGATCCATCTATTTGTTATTTTTTTTAAAAAAAAATTGTTTTTATATTAATTAATCACCTTTCATGATTAAGCTCTCAAGTATTACATAAATCATCACCAATCATCTAGCATTTATTAAATGAGTTTTCTCACATTTAAATTTTATATTTTTTGAGACCTTCTATTTTTTTTTTTTAATTTGACTAAAACCATCTATTTTTATTTTTATTATTATTATTATTTTGTTATAGCACTATCAATAAGATATCGATATATGACGTTGTAAAAGAAAAAAAAACTAAAGAGTAAAGGTGATTTATCCATTACTAATTGATAATGTTATAAGGAAATGTCTAAAGCAAAAAAATCTGGAAATATGAGAAAAATTCTTTATTAAAATGGTGAATGAGATTTATTTTCTCTTTTAATTTTTTAAGTTTGAATTTAAGGATAAATACTTGAGGAAATTTATTATTTTGAATGCATAAAGCCGATGTTGAAAATATATATGTGCTTAAAATCATCAGCAGGAAAAATTCTAATTTTAATTAACGTGCAATCTATCCTAAATATCCTTACGAAGTATCTTTTACTTGTTGGTGAAACCCCCTCTTTACTTTCCCTGAGATTAATATTATTGAACAAACAAGGCCGTGAATGGAGGCAGTAGGGCAAGTGGAGGGAGCAGATGCTGTACGTGCAAGCATTAATAGCATTGGAAAAATTGAGTGAGTCAAGGAAAAGATCTTAAAAAGAATAGAAATGTCAGGTCATGGAAGGATGCCATTAAATAAGGGGAGTTTAATAGAATTTGAAATAGATTTACGGATAATATATGTTAGCATCTTTAGTATGCACAATGTTCTAGTTGTTGCATAATACTTGAGGAAATTTTTTCTAGAATTTTTTTTTCCTAAATCGCAAAAAATAAAAATAAAACAAAACCCAGTTTTTAGGAGAGTCCAAATTGATGTTGTTGCTTCTCAATGTATAGAAAAGCCACCTGTTTCTTAATTTCTTGAGGACTAATTAATTTATTATTATTATTATTGAAAACTAGAGGGACTAATCTATAATTTCTCGTGAAATATGTAATATTATGAAGCTTAATTAATTATATGAAACTTAATTAATTATAAGTTATAACACTTTCATACATACCTAAAGTTTCATATGATCAACACAAGGAAATTTTTGGTATAAAACATTGAAGAACTTTTTGATCCATTTCAATAAAGTTTTTGATTTCCTTATTAATGAATCTTGAAGAAGGTGATTAGTTATGATTTTTCAACAAAAAAAAGAAAAGAAAAGAAAAGAAAAATCATTGCTTGGTTAAAAAATTATTGTCCCCAGAAACAACCCCCCTCCCAACACACACACACATTAATTATTTATAATAACCACGAATAATATTGAACACAAATTTTAATTTAAAGAATTCATATAAATTCCTTTTGAATAATGTTCTCTTCTTGTTTTCATTTTCTTCAGATCAAGCAGCCTAGTGGCTATATCCAACCTCACCATCCTAACCACAAGTTTGATCAGCTGGAACATGCTAAAAAGAATGGTACATCCCTTCCTTGAAAGTGTCCACATTCTACTATTCATTTCTTATTACTATCAAATATTGTACTACATATATACTACTATAAACTATATTTCCATAAATATTTTAAAGCAGATTCCCTACGTACCTAAACCTATTAAATATTAGCTCACCTGTCTTTATGTTAATTATTTATAATAATCACAATAACATTGAACAAAAATTCTTAAAAAATAATTTACATATGCTGCCAACATTATTTATAACCACTTGCATCAAGCCAAATTATATATATGATGAAATAAAGCGAAGGATGGTGAAAAGACAGAAGAAAAAGCCTTTCAACGTTCTTTAAAAAGAAACCAAGGTTGGTGGTTGTAGTTGGGAGGCAAAAAGAATTGCGGTTACATGGGGCTAGTTTTCTCTAGTAATGGACTGGAAAGCTGATACTTTAGCAAAACAGAAAAGGGGGTAGAATTTTAATTGGCTTGGTTGTAGTTTCCTTCTCTCTCAAACTCTGTAAGTTAATGCGATTAGTGTCATTCACTGATATCTTTTGATTCAGAATTAGAATTAATAGCGTTAAATTAGCATAATATTTAAACTTTTACAGCTTGTTTTTACTGTCAATAGGATACGTACTTGGATAGTGCATAATATGATGTAATTAAGAACTTAATTAATTTAATTGTGTTTGTTAGGATAATATTTTATAACAAGACTAGATTCAATTATTAAAAAAGACCCAAAAAAAAAAAAAAAAACTGACGGCAAATGTTATCAGGCAATTTTTCTTTTCTTTTTCAAACACATGGAGTGGGGTATATATGAGACTCTTCATTACATCTAATCTACCATTTTGCGTGTTAGGTCAGCTAAAATACATTTAATTTTTATCAATTATTGAATTATTTTTTAGATTAAAACAATCCAAATTTAATATAACTAAAAAATCATTATGCAGAAAAACCTTTGCCGCCTCATGAATATAGATTGACTTAAGCCTTATAATGAGTGATAACTTTTCAACTTTATATATTATTCATTATTTGTTTAACTATTCAATATAAGATATACGTTCTAATACTATCTTTTGGGATATGTCGTGGCTTGGGTTCCAAGACTTAAGTCATGTGATGGATGACACATTTTCAACCTTATGCATTAATCATCTTTTGGGGTATGTTGTGGCTTAAGTTCCAAGACTTAAGCCTTGTGATGAGTGATTTATTTTCAACATTATATATTAATCATCTTTAGTTTAACTATTCAATGTGGATGTATTTTAACACTCCCCTTCACTTGCAGCCTATCTTTTGAAATCTATCAAGTAGTTTAAGTTTCGGAATCTTTGTTGGATCGATGGGCCTTTATAAGGCTTTGATAACATATAAAGTTACATAGTTGAAATTGAATTTTATCCAAAAAACCTAAACCCTTATGATGAGTAATCTCTTCTCAACTTTATATTTTATTTATGATTGATTTAACTATTCAATGTAAGATATGTGTTCTAAGAATGAACACATGGGAATACCTATAGTCCTTAATTGTGATTTGCGTTGCCTTAATCGAATGACATCATATATTCTCTAATCAACACCTAACCAATCACTGATCACCAAAGAAAAGAATAGGACAGAGAAAGGAAAAGAAAATAGTTAACGAGTCAAGTGGACGAAAACGAAAATTCAAAATCCAGTATATAATATTAGAGCATGAATGTGTTAGGTTCACAATTATTGAAGAGAGTTTGAAACTCATTTGACGTGTTATCGAATCAAATTTTAATTAAGATGGTAAGGTTGTCCCATGACGACCTGTTATTTTTGTTCTTATGTGTCAACTGCATGTCATATATAAATAAAAAACATAGAAGAGTTGGCAAATAGAATATAAAATTTTTTCGGACATATTAAATTTTTTTTACTCCGGCAACCAAAAGAAGCTCAATCAATTGCATGTTAGAGAAATAGAGAGGACTAGCTAGTACTATATATAACATGTCATAACATGTCTTGAAGAGCACAAGAGACACAAATTACCAGTGTGAGAGAGGCTGTGACACTTTTTCAAAGATATATATTACTCATCTATCACGAATTACAGTACTGGGAGCGTGAGAAATTCTGTGGCACATAAATTACAGTAAGTACTGGAAGTGTGAGAGAGGCTGTATGTGAAATTTTTCCAAAGCATATATTACTTATATATCACAAATTACTGGGAGTGTAAGAGAGGCTGTATGTGAAACTTTTTCAAAGATATATATATTACTCGTTTATTATTTATTTAATATAAAATATATTTGTTTTGTTAAGTGGTTTAGATTTTGAGATTTTATCAAGCTAAATAGTTGATATTAAAATTTATCCAAAAACTTTAATGGTGGATGCGTTTTTATTACTGTATATATTTATTACCTATTATTTATTTATTTGATATGTTCTAACTGTGTATATGTGTTAGGTTCCCGATAATATCTGCAGTATTGCTTCGAGGATCAGAAGAGGCTCTGCTGTTCCGTTTATTTAAAAAATATTATTGTTATTGTTCCCTTGCCAGGTACTCAGTTTCTTTGCGCATGCATTAGTGTTTTCTTTTGTTCCTTTGTGTTTGTTACTTTGATTCAACATATCATTATTTTTATTTCAATAAAGCTAGTCCAAGACTCGAAATCGAGTTTTTATATTTTTCCTACTTTAATATAAAGTAAAAAGTTCAGAAGTAATAATCTAATTTGTCTAATTTGCTACAATTTCAATAATTTTTTAAAAAATATTTTTCATGCAGAATATTTTCCAAAAATAAGTTAATTTACATGAAATAAATGAAGCTTTGTAAACAACGTAAAGATTAACTACTGAAGAAAGAGTTGCATTCTACAGTGAGAATCACATAAATAAGAGTTGCACTTTATATCCTTATTTCCCTTGTTAACAAAATAAAGATGTGTTAGGAATCTAGGAATTTAAAGATCTTTTAGGCTATAATTTCTCAAGTAAATTATTTGATTTAGTTGGAAATTAACAACTATAAAAAGTCATCTCGATTCAAAAATTTAATCTTACTAAAGCAAAAATTTGCGAAATAAATTCTTTTGGTAGTGACTGTTGTTTATCTATCATATTGGACAGCAAACTTTGATAGATGGGAGAAATTCGTTCGCCGTATTTTTCAAATGGTGGAGGCTACCTTGGAGATGATGCTGAAACTCGTTCACCATATTTTTCAAGTGGTGGAGACTACATTGGAGATAATGCTGAAATTGATTCGCCATATTCTTCATTTGGTAATCAAGATTACCATGGAGATAATGCCGGAATTCAGTCCTCATATTTTTCAGTTGGAGACTACCATGAAGAAGATGCTGAAATTCCTTCTGAATCATTCTTTCACCAAGATCATAACCTTGAAAATCCATACAATGCAGAGCAGGTTATTGTTCAAACTACATACAACACAGCGAAGCTCCTTCAGCAAAAAAATGTTAAAGAACTGCGCATCGATATGGAAGATGAAATGGAAAAAGTACACGTGGAAATTCCAGATTATGAGATATGCATCTACAAAGTTCCCAATGCACTTCGACGATCGAAGGAAGATATCTTCACTCCTCGACAAATTTCTATCGGCCCTATTCACCATGGCATGACGAATTGGAAGCCCATGAAGGAGCAAAAGGTAATATATTTCCAAGCATTCTGCAACAGGGTGGCAGAGAAAACGAAGGAGCAAAAGGAGAAGTTTATGGACAAACTTTCGAACACTATCATAGAGAATAAAGAGAACATCAAGCAATGTTATGAAGATGGTGCCCATGAATTTGAAGAATATAAGTTTTTGAAAATAGTTTTGTTGGATGCTGTATTCATCTTGGAGTACTTGTTGAGGAATGAAGATATAAAAAAATATGAAGATGAGGGGCATGAAGATATAAAAAAATATAAATATGATCCTATATTGAGTAAAATGAGGTATTCGATTCGATGGGACTTAATGTTGCTTGAGAATCAATTGCCATTCTTCATCCTCGAGAACTTATATCTCCATCTTATTGAAGACGGCGGCGAAGAATATTATACTCCTTTTCGAACTCTTGCCTGTGCTTACTTCAATAGGTACATTAAGAGTCAATACAAGCCGAGCGACGACGAGAAGATATTACATTTCACTGGTTTGGTCAGATCTTTATTATCCTTCAGCCACCCATATTTAAGAACTTTAGAACCGATAGATACATTTTATAGCGCAACCCAGCTGAAGGAGGCAACGATTAAGATTAAAGAATCACGGAATCAATGCTTACTTGACGTAAAGTTTACTTCCACCAAAGGCGAGTTAAGCATACCACGTCTTGAGATCGACTCCACCACTGAATGTATCTTCAGAAACCTCATGGCCTTTGAGCGTTGTCATTATGCAGGAGAAGAGTGTTACATCAGCCATTACATTAAGCTATTTGAAACTCTTATTCGCAAACCCAAAGATGCGGATCTCCTCATTAAAAACAAAATTATCAGGACAAACAAAGACGGTGCTGGAGTGGAGAATCTACTTAAGAAGCTCTCCGAAGGAACATTTGAAGACTATTCCTGTTATTATGATCTGTACCAGCAGCTGGATAAATACTATCAGAAATCCTGGATGGAAAATAGTGCATTATTTCTTAGAAAGACATATTTTGGAAATGTTTGGAAAAGTACTGCAACTTTCATTGCAGCTATCTTGCTCGTCCTCACTATCGTACAAACAATTTGTTCGATCCTTTCCTTGCGCTAGAACTCCAAGTGTACCAAGTCAATCTAAAGCCGGTGTGATTTTATTTATCTGTTATTGTCTTTTGTTGTATTGTTTATAGAATTTCTGTTTTCTTTGCAGTATTTTTTTGCTTCAACCATTGGTTTGAAATCGAGATCTCTGAGTGAGGAGGACCTGAGTAGTAATTGAGCTAAGCTCATGGCATTCCTTTGTGTTTAATAAATTTGTTTTTCATAAATTCCGTTCCCAATATGAAGAACAAATTTTAGAATCTAGAATTTGGTAGGTTTGGTTGTGATTGTGTAGATAGTGAAGACTAAAAGGCTTCAATGGCTGCACTTTCGTTAGAAAAAACTGTGATTTAAAAAGATTAATAAACAAAAAGAGAAGTTAATCTTTACTTTTGAGGATTCAATTATGATTTATTTCAAAGTATTATGGGCTAATTTAAAAATATCAGAAGCTAAGGGAAACTATTGATGAAAATTAAGGGGCTATTAGAAACAATTGAAACTAAAGGGATCAAAATAATTAACATGAAGGGCTTGATTGTAAAAAAAGTGAAACAAGAAAGGACTGTTTTGAAAGATGTCCACGGACTAGGATGAATTTGGCAAGCTTACCACGGATGACATGTCGTTCGTTTTAGAGATGGTATAAACCATTGTTCCTCTTCTTTCTTTAGGGAAAAAAAAAAAAAAAGGACATGTACAGAGAGAGAGATGGAGGGCTGTGATTAACAATATGAGAGGGCTATGAAAACAAACCTTTAGGGTCAACAGAAGGAGTGATAAAAAAAAGAAAATGAGAGAGAAAAAACTAGGGAACAACGAGATAAAAAGAATTTTAATCGTTGATTATTGACGTAAGATTTAAATTTTTGATCGTTTAATTAAAAGATTCTAATGATATATTAAAAATTATTTTGATATAAAAACTTAAATTGTTAGATAATATCTTAATATATAATTTATATTATTCTCAAACATTTAAAAATAATACAATCTCTTATTTAGTATAGGTTTTAATTGTCTTCTATGATTTTGATTTCATCAACATTAAAAAATTTCAATCTAAAGAAAAAAATGAATAAATTTCAATTATATAAGCAATTTAATATTTAATAGGACATTTTTGGAAATACAAAAGAAATCAAACTTTTTGAAAAAAAGATGGAGGAGGTATTTAGGTTAGCCGAGATAACCGTAATGGGAGGAACGGGTAATATAATATTGAGTTAAAATTATATTTTTGTATAAAGAAAAGAAAAAAAAATTGATTCCCTTCATTGGGAACTCTCTTAATCCTATGAAATAAAATAAACCAACCATGTTTTGAGAACAGTTGATGATTAAGACATTGATTAACATTAACTATACAAGAAAATCCAATTTTATTTCCCAAATTTACTTGAAATGTTGTTGCAAAGCATTTTTGTTTCATAGGATATTTCTAGGTTTTTTTATTTTTTACTTTATGTTTTTTTGTGACAAGACATTTTCCCATCTATCAGTAGGCTCACTTGTTGCAAAGCAAGACAACACCTTCTCAAATTTAAAATAATAATAATAATAATAAATAAATAAATAAAAATTGGGGACCAATCATTGATCGAGGTATAAATGATACACTAAGAATCTAATTGAAACCAAATTTAGTTTAGGGATCACATTGAAAAGAAATTCATAATTGACGACTAATTGTGGTTTGCCAATAGGAAAAAAAAAGAAAAAAAGAAGCATGTACTTCAATGTGAAAAAAAAAAGAAAAAAAAAACACTTCAGAATTTCAGCAAAAGGATAGTGAAAAATGTCATTGGATGTCATCTTTTCCTTAAAAGACATCCAAATATATATGTATATATACTTCAAAGCTAGAGAGCTCAGCTCAGCTTGGTCTAGGTTCATCATACAGTAACTCACTTTAGGCCTTATGTAAGGGCGTTCAAAACATAAAATGGAAGCAGATAGTTTGCTTTGATGTTTCCATCCTTCAACTTGCAGCATTGCTATTGCCATTTGAAATTGCATGCAATTGTACTTCAAGGTCATGGTTATCACACTCTTTATTGCTTGGCTTCATTGCTTTCGTCTCTTCAATCATCATTTTCGACTCCTTATCTTTCCCCCAGAGAACTGCGTAAAGCCCTGCGACGATCAAGATAGACCCTAGAGCACTAAAAATCAATCACATATCGATTAGTAATTCCTTGATTATTTCTACAAAAGATACAAGCACGCAAAAACAATGATGAAGAGTAAAATTAGTGAAGGAGTTAAGCATATGCATACGTTCCGACATATATCTTCTCATGGAGCAAGGCCCAACTCAAAACAGCTACTATAACGAGCAACAAGGGACTGAAGACTGAGACGTAGAGTGCTCCTTTCCTTTGAATACACCATGAAGTGAGGGAAAATGCTAGCCCAGAACACACGATTCCCTAAAATTGGTTTCGAATTCATAACATTAGTATGTGTTGATTATAATCCTATGTTGGTAATAATCTGTTACGTAGCTCTAAAGGGATTAAAAGACGGACAAATTCATCAAGAATTCATCAGTTGGACTTTTAGAACCGATAGTTTCAGCTTTTATGGATGGTTTAGTTTAGTTCAGTTTTATTTTTGATAGACTGACCATTAGATTGTCTATTTCTTTTGTTGTTAATTTATTAACCAATTAATTAAAGGAACATACCGAATACAGAGCAGCGATAAGCCTTCCAGGAGATCGCAATGACCACTCGGATGCTTTGTGATTGGCAACAATGCCGATTACCACACATTCAATGCTGCCCATGAATAACATCAATAAGGTGCATGTGTAAGGAGCTGGAAACTTCAAGCTCACTTTGGCCTGCGCAAATCATCAGAAAATGCACTTTTAGACCATGAAGTGGCATGATCTAACCAATCTGAATTTTTTTGAGGAAGTAAGATTCCTTACTTGCATGATGAACCATATTGCCCAAGAAGTAGAACCAGCCATTATAAATAAGGATCCCAAAATGAAGTTTGATTTCTTATCGGTGTTGCTATTTCCTATGCTATCTGTATAGTTCCAATGAATACTTGATTCACCTATATTGATCCTATGACCATGGTAAAATGATAACAACATGGCTCCTCCTACACATACTAAAGTCCCTAGCAGCTTAGCTTGCCCAGATATCTTCTTAATTCCGACAGATTCTTGTCTGCAAAACATTAAAAAACCAAAAAGTGTTAAAATATAGTATCGAATTGCTTGTAGCTTAGGAAATGATCATGGCAGAAGGTGTTCTAATACGCAACATGAGAATAATTTAGTACCTGCAAAGAACTGCAAGAATAAAGGTCGCTGCAGGGAGTATGTTGGCCAATGCACAGCCAATTGTAGGGGTGGACTTTTCTAGCCCTGTAAAGTAAAAAACCTGGTTTCCTGTTACCCTGCATGTTTTGAGATAATTAGGTATCCAAAATTACCCTGCAGGGAGTAAAATACAGAGAAACTATGTGCTATCATAATGTATCAGAGGAATCCAAGAGTATGGGGGCTTGGAACCCCCGATTTTAATACGAATTTGTACTTGTTGAAAATAGTAGAAGAATGAGTTTTTGGGTTATAAAAAATAAAATAAATAAATAAAAATAATGCATTAGACAAGAAAAATAAAATGAAAACACATACTACTAAATTTGTTGGTGAAAAATATATTGTCAAAGAATATTAGTTATTCATAATTTAATTAGATGTGAAATATAAAAAGCTACTCACCCAGTAAGAGAACATAAGAAAATCTGGAACAGCAAAGACTTAGTGATCTTAGGCCTACTTTTCCTGCACCAAAAAATAAAGAAAAATCAAATATTACTCTTTTTATTTTTAGTTAATAAGAGATCCACTAAGGAAGACACAAAATCCAGTAACTGGCCTGCGATAATCAAGACAGTCTGCCCAATCACTTTCTACAAATGCTTGAAGCTATACACCAAAATCTGCTAGAAGCAGAATGCCTTGTCCAGCAGCATGCTTTAGATACCTGAGTATCCTAAAAGCTGCTTGTAAATGTATGGATGTAGGCTTGTCCATGAACTTAGAAAGGACCTAAGTTGCAAAACAAATATCAGGCTTTGTGAAAGTCAAATACAATAACTTTCCTACCAGCTACCTGTAACCAGAAGGATCTTATAAGAATTCTGAATTTGCCTTGACCTAGTTAACATAAGGATCCATTAGAGTAGAAGCTAGCTTAGCCCCTAACAAACCATGTTCTGTCAATAGATCAAGAACGTATTTTCTTTGACTCAAAAATATGCCTTTGAAGATTTATCCACTTCAATCCCAAGAAAGAACTTCAATTTGCCCAGATCCTTCATCTTAAAATGGCAATTAATACTGTTTAAATTCTTCAATGATAGCTGTTGAATTGCTAACAATAACAATATCATTAACATACACAAGTAAGACAAGAAAACCTTTTGATGGAATCTGTTTAGTAACAAAGGATAATTTGTCTTTGACTGCACAAAACCAAAGGATAATAAGGAAGAAGTCAGCTTTGCATTCCAAATAACTGACTCTGCTAACAAACTACCTGTTATTCTAATGGCTTTATTTTTAAAACTAAAGAACACGTGACCACGTGTTAGCTTCTCCATTAATAGGAAATAACATGACTCTTCCTATCTTGAACATATGGCAAGCTGATATGCACTCGAAGGGTATGGACTTGAATTCCTCACCAAGAAAGAAAGAAAAAATGGAAAAAAGTTTAACCACCTTTGCAACAACCCCGTTGGTCATTTCTTTTAAACATAAGAACTTACAGTTCAAAAGAAATAAACGAAGGGGAATCATCATAGCAAAGATTTTCTATTAAGCAATAATATTAACTCAAGCAATTCATCTGTGGAGTTCATTGCAAGATTTGATATATATAGTACTTTTCATGTCTACACTAACCTATTTTGTCCGAACTTGGAATCCATATTTGACATTTTATTTGTAATTTTTTTTTTTGGTTTTACTCTTAGAAATAATTAAATATTATAGTACTGTACTAGCTAGTATGCTTCTTAATTGTGTCCTAACCATGCATAGCTACTTTATAAAAAAAACAACCAAAAAAAAAAAAGAGAGATTTAATCTAACGATTATATATTGGATAATTTTAACAGTTTTATTTGGTGAAAAAAAATTGAAGTTCTAATAACCTCAAATTATTTTTGGTGATTATGTAATAAAGGAGGAGGTATCCTCTCTTATATAGCTCAACACCCGATATACGAAACAAAAACAAAAAAACAAAGCTTGTACTAAAAATAGATGAATGTATACAATCTTCATCTTGAGTAAATATACAGTAACTAAGATGTTATTTAGGAAAAAAATGAATTTTCTCGATAACATGCAAGACCAGAAAAATTAGAGAGCCCACTGGCTTTGATTGGCAAGAGAAATAGATATGCATGCACTCCTCCTCAACCCCAACCCCAACTCCACTTACCAAACTTAAATTTTGACCAAAACGAAAATCTCATGCAACCATTAAAACAAACAAAAAGCTTTAAAGAACTTACCGCTCAAAGAAATAAGCAAAGGGGACTATTGCAATGGTGGCAAAGATTTGCCTATAACAAACAAGAACAAGTGGTTTCATGCCTGAATCCATTGCAAGCTTTGATGTAATATTCATGCCTGCGAAGCCAAACTGGACTATAACCATAGCCAAGAATGGCAAAACATCAGCCATGTCCATTGCTATATAATTTCTTGATTCTCTTCAAGAATATTACTACTAAACTAGTGATGATGCTTTATATAAAGAGGGAGTGAGAAAGGTGGCGATGTTAGAGAATCAAGAATGGATCGAGGTAGAGTACAAAAGATTTGGTGTGTAGAAGAGAGTTATTAAATCTGAACAGAAAGTGAGGAAATAATCAAGGAAAGGATAAGTATCTATGTGCATGAGAAAAAGAGAGAGAACCGGTTCAAGATTTTCTTGCAAACACCTGTGTTTTTGCATGAACAATACAAAGGTGTGCTTTCATTTTTGTCTTGAGCCATAGCTAATTATTGCCACTACACTACAAAGACTATAAAGTATATAAAATTATTTTACTTTGTTACCTCATGTTATGTTATGTTTTTATTAAAAAATATTAAATCAAAATTCATTTAATTTTATTATTTTTTAATCAAAATTTTATATTCGATTAATTATTTTTTATATTTTTATAAATTTTTTTAAAAAATATTATTTATTTATCTCGTATCTATATTTTTAACTAAAAACTTATCTTATAAATTGTTTTTTTCTAAATTTTACCTTAAATTTTTTAATTACAAAAGTCGGGAAAAAAAAGACTAAAGTAATCAAAATGATACAAAAAAGGACTAAAATCAAACAAAAAATATTTACGAACTAAAAAAAATAAAAAAAATGATCAAAAAATAATATCACGAAAACTTTCAAAAAAAAAATTTAAAAACTATAAAAATATCATTACATAATAAAAATAATAATGCATTTAAGTCTGAATGAATAATAATACATATGATTCTAGATAAATATCATTTGAAACAATAAAATGAATAATAAATTTATGTTTTTGTTTAGTTTTTTTTATAATTTCAAAAAAATTTATTTTATTTATTTATTTATTTCTTTTGTGACAAGATAAGACCTTTGTCACATGAACGTCATTTTCTTTCTCTCCAAAGTCGAATCATACCAGACCTGGTTACGTACCTCAATAGCAATCTTGCAGAAAGCCAATAATTTTTCTAAAAGTTGATTGATCTCTACGCATGGAAATTAAGGTAGAATGATCGTATTGATGGGACATGGGAGGGGTCATCATAGTCATTGCATGCCGAGGAACCAGGGCGCACTTATATTGATATATTATGCAAATAAATTAGATAATTTAATTATTTTTAAAGCTAATAAATATATGAAATAATCTTATTCATCTATTAAAATTTAATTATATATCATGGTATATTTATATTCATGTATTAAAATTTAATTCTATATCATAGTACCAATAATAACTTAAAGGGAAGCCAATCCCAATATGGTAAAATTGAAATGAAAAATTCAAACCCAATTAAAACCCCAATTATCTCTAAATCCATAACTAGGTCCCGAAACGATTTTTTTTTTTCAAGTGGATCCTCAAGAAACACTAAACATTTTCCCATGTTTTTCGATAATGAAATTACACCCCTTGAGGAAATTTTTAATTTTTTCTGTTAAAAAATTGGAAAATTTTGAGACAAGGGACCAATCATTAATCGAGATATAAATGATAATCTGAGAATCCAATTGAAAGTACATTTAGTTTGGGGATCACATTGAAAATAAGTTCATAATTGGGGACTAATTGTGGTTTGCCAAAAGGAAAAAAAAAAGAAGAAAACACTTCAGAATTTCAGCAAAAGGGTAGTGAAAATTGCTTGGATGTCATCCTTTCCTTAAAAGATACCCATATATATATATATATATATACTTCAAAGCTAGCTAGAGAGCTCAGCTTGGCTTGATCTAGGTTAATTATACAGTAACTCACTTCAGGCTTTTTCCTACATAAGAGAAACATGATAATTGATAGCTTTATGTAAAGGCGTTCAATACATAAAATGGAAGCAGATAGTTTGCTTTCATGTTTCCCTCCTTCAAGTTGCAGCATTGCTATTGCCATTTGAAATTGCAGGCAATTGTACTTCAAGGTCATGGTTATCACACTCTTTATTGCTTGTCTTCACTGCTTTCGCCTCTTCAATCATCGTTTTCGACTCCTTATCTTTCCCCCAGAGAACTGCGTAAAGCCCTGCGACGATCAAGATAGACCCTAGAGCACTAAAAATCAATCACATATCGATCAGTCATTCCTTGGGTAGTGCTACAAAAGATACAAGCACACAAAAACAATGATGAAGAGTAAAATTAGTGAAGGAGTTAAGCATATGCTTACGTTCCGACATATATCTTCTCATGAAGCAAGGCCCAGCTCAAAACAGCTACTATAACAAGCAACAAGGGACTGAAGACTGAGACATAGAGTGCTCCTTTCCTTTGAATACTCCATGAAGTGAGGGAAAATGCTAGCGCAGAACACACGATTCCCTGAAATTGGTTTCAAATTCATAACGTCAGGATGTGTTGATTATAATCCTATGTTGTTAATAATCTGTTACGTAGCTCTAAAGGGATTAAAAGACGGACAAATTCATCAAGAATTCGTCAGTTGGACTTTTAGAACTGATAGTTTCAGCTTTTATGGATGCTTTAGTTTAGCTTAGTTCTATTTTTTATAGACTGGCCATTAGATTGTCTATTTCTTTCGTTGTCAACTTATTAACCAAATTAATTAAGGCAACATACCGAATACAGAGCAGCGATAAGCCTTCCGGGAGACCGCAATGACCACTCGGATGCTTTGTGATTGGCACCGATGCCGATTACCACACATTCAATGCTGCCCATGAAACACATCAATAAGGTGCATGTGTAAGGAGCTGGAAACTTCAAGCTCACTTTGGCCTGCGCAAGTTACCAGAAAATGCACTTTTAGACCATGAAGTGGCATGATCCAACCAATCTGAAAATTTTTGGGAAACTAAGATTTCTTACTTGGATGATGAACCATATTGCCCAAGCAGCTGCACTAGCCATTATAAACAAGGATCCCAAAATGAAGTTTGATTTCTTGTCGTTGTTGCTATTTCTTGTGCTATCTGCATAGTTCCAATGAATACCTGATTCACCTATATTGATCCTGTGACCATGGTAAAATGACAACAACATGGCTCCTCCTACACATACTATAGTCCCTAACAGCTTAGCTTGCCCAGATATCTTCTTAATTCCGACAGATTCTTGTCTGCAAAACATTAAAAAACCAAAAAGTCTTAGAATGTAGTACTGGATTGCTTGTAGCTTAGGAAATGATCGTGGCAAAAAGGTGTTCTTATTCGCAACATGAGACTAATTCAGTACCTGCAAAGAACTGCTAGAATAAAAGTTGCTGCAGGGAGTATGTTCGTCAATGCACAGCCAATTGTAGGGGTGGAATTTTCTAGCCCAATAAAGTAAAAAACCTGGTTTCCAGTTACCCTGCATGTTTTGATAGAGGAAAATTAACTCAAAAGCATTGTAAAATGCAGAGAAAATATGTGCTATCACAATGCATTAGACGAACCCTCAGTTTTAATACGAATTCATACTCAGTGAAAATAATTGAAGAATGATCAGTTTGGGGTTATGAAAAATAAAATAAATAAATAAAAATAATGCATTAGACAAGGAAAATAAAGTGAAAGCACATACTACCAAAATTTGTAAGTGAAGAACATATTGTCAGAGAATATTAGTTACTCACCCAGTAAGAGAACATAAGAAAATCTGGAACAGCAAAGGCATGGTGATCTTGGGCCTAGTTTTCCTGCACCAAAAAATAAAGAAAAATTAAATATTACTCCTTTCTAACTGTCTCAGACTAATTTATTACAGAAATAACATGACTCTTCCTATCTTGAACCTATGGCAAGCTGATTTGCACTCGAAGAGTATGGACTTGAATTCCTCACCAAGAAAGAAACAAAGAATGGAAAAAAGTTCAACAATCCCTTTGCATATTTCTTTTAACCATAAGAACTTACAGTTCAAAAGAAATAAACGAAGGGGAATCATCATAGCAAAGATTTTCTATTAAGCAACAATATTATATCAAGCAGTTCATCCATGGAGTCCATTGCAAGATTTGATATATATATATATGTATGTATGTATTACTTTTCATGTCTACGCTATCCTATGTTGTCCGAACTTGGAATCCATATTTGACATGGATGCATGTCTGACACACATATCCATTGTGGCTGGATTAATTACGCTATTTTCTCCAATTTTTCTCCACTAAGGAATTGAGAAATGTGTAGAGGAAGCTGTGGTGGAACGCCTTGCCAGATAAACTCAATTTTACCTGGGCTGCTGTGACACTCATTGACTTTTGTAGGTTCAAAGTACGAGGTAGAACATGACATAAATCACATGATTAATTTGTTGAAAAAGAACACTGACTGAATTCAAATCATTTAGTTAACAAAAATCTTCAATTCCTTTTTAGAAATAAGATGGACCTAAAAAATGAGCCAATGAAATTACATGCAGCCTTAACATAGGCTGGCTGGTTGGCCTCAAACACTTAATTAATACTGAGAAGAGTGGCATATAAGCAAGCGCACATGAGATGTAGTTAATGCAAAGCTGCTTCTTTACAAGTGTTTGTTTCTAATTAAAGAGAAAGAAGAAGCTTGCTCCAGTAATTATTTTCACTTATTAGGCTATTAATCTGTGCCTGAAGGCATGCAGCTGGCGCATTACAAGAGCAATGGCAAGTAAATCGACAAGCGGCAGCCATGCATCAGCTATGGTCTTTGTGTATCAGTTGCATAAAATGCCCATGTCCAAAATCCAAGATAAATTCTTTCAATAGCATACAAACCATATTAACCAGCACAGCTCTCAGTCATTTATTGGTAATTTTTTTTTTTTTGGTTTTACTCTTAGAAATAATTAAATATTATAGTACTATACTAGTTAGGAGAAATTTTATAATACACAAAGAGTAACTAGTGGCATATACAATAGTTACTTATTAGGGAGAGAGAAAATAAAAAAAATTTAAACGGATGTGAAAATCTTCTTATTACTTTTGATAGGTATGGATGTAATTTCTCTCTTTTTAGCTAGTATAGCTATTAATTGTGTCCTGACCATACACAGCTACTTTATAAAAAAAAACAGCAAAACAATAAAACAGATTTAATCTAGCAGTTGTATATTCGGTAATTTTAATAGTTTTATTCAGTGAAGTAAAATTGGAAATTTTAATAAGTTTATTCAATGAAGTAAAATTATAGTTCTAATAACCTCAAATTATTTTTGGTGATTATGTAATAAAGGAGAGGTATCTTCTGTTATACAGCTCAAAACCTGATATATGGGAAATAAAAAATAAAAAAATAAAGCTTGTACTAAAAATAGATGAATGTATACAATCTTCATCTTGAGTAAATATATAGTAAATAAGATGTTATTTAGGCAAAAAATGAATTTTCTAGATAACATGCAAGACCAGAAAAATTAGAGAGCCCACTGGCTTTGATTGGCAAGAGAAATAGATATGCATGCACTCCTCCTCAACCCCAACCCCACATACCAAACTTCAATTTTGACCAAAACGAAAATCTCATGCAACCATTAAAACAAACAAAAAGCTTTAAAGAACTTACCGCTCAAAGAAATAAGCAAAGGGGACTATTGCAATGGTGGCAAAGATTTGCCTGTAACCAACAAGAACAAGTGGTTTCATGCCTGAATCCATTGCAAGCTTTGATGTAATATTCATGCCTGCGAAGCCAAACTGGACTATAACCATAGCCAAGAATGGCAAAGCATCAACCATATCCATCGCTATAAAATTTCTTGATTCTCTTCACGAATATTACTACTAGGCTATAGTGATGATACTTTATATAAAAAGGGAGTGAGAGAGGTGGTGATGTTAGAGAATCAAGAAAGGAGGTAGATCACAAAAGATATGGAGTGTGGAAGAGAGTATTAAATCTGAACGGAAAGTGAAAGGAAATAATCAAGCAAAGGAGAAGTATCTGTGTGCATGAGAAAAAGAGAGAAACGGTTCAAGATTTTCTTGCAAACACCTGTGCTTTTGCATGAACAATATAAAGTTGCGTGCTTTCAGTTTTGTCTTGAGCTATAGCTAATTATTGCCACTACGCACCACAAGCCTCCAGTAACCAAATTACATTTTGCAATTTTTGCCGTTTCAACGTAAACAAACAATGGGACCCACAAATTGGAAGTGGGTCCCACCGGCCTTTTGGGGTCAAACTATACTCTCTGGTTGTGATCACAACTCATCAATCAAACGGTATTTTGGTAAGCATTAAGGGTAGATTAATGGCTACTCGCCCTGACAAATGTCACTAATAAAGCTCATTCAACTTACATCTGTTTGACTATAGAAAATTATAAAATGCACAATCGGTATTCCAATCTGTTTATATGATATAAAATTATAAAATTTAATTCGAGTTTACATTAATTTTAGGCTAATTGGTGAACTATTGGTTTGTAATTAAGTTTTTTCGTCTAGTTAACCAATTTTAAACTATATTGAATATACGTAAGAGACCAACTAAGCTATAAAAAAATATCATATGTTTTGTGTTTTAAAACATATATTATTATTATAATGGTTTCACGTGTCTCTCATGTTCTTTAAAATTGATTAGTAAAATGAAAATTAATTATAGATAAAAAAAGATCAGAGCTCTAAAAAAAATTAGGAACTTTTTTCTTTTTTTCTTTTTAACTAATAATTCAGGTTATACATTATAACCAATTAGTCTTAATTTACAATAATAATAACAAAAATGTTGGATAGTTTTATGGTATGGTTCTAGGAGTGATTGTTGTTCGAAAACATAGAGGGTTTCAATTTAATTCTAGTTAATATTAACTTGGAAAGCTTAATTTTGCCTTCTTTTTTTTTTTCAATTAAGCAATTAACTTTTGCACTGGCCTTTAAAAAAAAAATTATTATTCAAAAATTGGAGAAGAAAATTAGATGAGAGAGGGAAATTAGAAGTGATATTATATATAGAGATTTGGTTGAATAATTCACTTAACCAACACCAGAAATATTGGTGTTGTAGTGTTTTCAGTATGATTGCTTAAGGGATATAATTGTGTCATGCATGGTTTTAGCTATCTACAAAAAGCAAAACCTATACCTATCACTTTGACCCCTAGGGATTACATTCCTCTCCATCAATGTTCATTAACAATATTATTATGTTATCTTTAATAGAATTGGATTGATTGCATATTTCGTTCTTGTATTTTTTAACCTTTTTTTAAGGTAATTTTTTTTTTTTTTTCAATCTTTATATTGTAGATGTTTTCTGAATATGACATCTCTAATAAGATTTCGATCAATTATTCAACAACAAATGACCAATAGACTATCACGTCAAATAATAGTAATATGTGTCAAAAAATTCAATCTCAAAAAATAAAGAGAATTAATAAAATACACCTAAACAAAATAGGACTTTTTTTTATATATAACTAATTGAAAATAATTTAAAGGGATTAATTTTATTATCTGGTGTGGCAATTTGTATATCACTTGTTATTAAAAAATCGACCAAAATCTTATTGAAAAGACTACATTTAAAAAAATATATATCTAGATTATAGGGATTAATTTTTTATAAAAAAAAAAAAAAAACTAGAAGACCACATTAAGAAAATATCAAGAATACACGAAAGAAGACTACTCTTAATAACATTGCTTATTAATTAATCAGAATTTGTTTTCTTTTCTAATATTTTTTCGAACCTATATATGTAGATAGTTAATTGATGCTTCAATCAATTATCTAAATGTATTTAGGGGATTTGAAATCTTCATAACTTAGAAGACAAAAGAGTCCCAATACTTGTAATAATTTTATGAATAAATACCAAATAAGAAATTTGTAACCCTCATTGCAACATTCATGTATATAGCTTGAAGAAATTGGTATAAAAGTTTAAAAAGTTTATTTCTTTTTAAATTTTTCAAGTTCAGATTATATGAGTTGCAATCTCCTAGCTTCGCCTGTCTCTTGAGTTTAATTTGAGACATTTCAACGTATTTTCCTTCAAAAGCCTTTTCCTTTAAAGCTCAAAAAATACTTGTAGGTACACGACTATATAAAATCGTATAAATGGTCCATGTATTCATACCATTATTTATTGTTATTATTATTATTATTATTATTATATTTATAAATAATAGGATATTCTTGAGCTGAAAATTTATTCGAAAAAATTAAGACAACGAATTCACTAAAATTTGTCTTGCCATGTAGATTTTTTATTATTGTTAATGAACAAAAGATTCATTAATAATTAAAAAAAAAAAAAACAAGGCAGGAGCCAATCCTAATATAAAACAAGATAAGCATGATTTATGGTTTGGCCAGGTACTTTATCCCAATTAAAATAGAAATCAAGGAATTTGCTATAAGCGAGAGCTTCAGCATCTCCTCATTTCGAAAGAGAATGAGTAAATTATAAATTAGTCCCTCTAGTTTTAAAAAAATTAATTAGTCTCTTTTGTTCCAAAAATTATTATTTAATATTTTAATCAATGACTAATCATGTTTAATTTAATATTATTTTTATTATTTTAAATCTTTTATTTTCTCATCGATCTTTTCATATTTTTTTCCTTTTTCTATTTCTTAAAACAAAAATAAAAGAAATAAAAAGATTAAGTTACAAGTAAATTTTAAAATATAAAAACTAATTAATTGTTTTTAAAAATAAAAGGCATCAATTTATTTATTTCTCAAAACGATATGGATTAATTTATAATTTATTAGAAAGAGAATTTATCATGTGAATTTGTTTATGGGCTAGACTTCAAAATTACTTCCTGAAGAACTTTCAAATTTGAGTATAGGCCCATCCAATCAAACTTGAGAAGCAGACCTAGCCCATAAAGTATTATATTCAAAACACTCATGAGAAGATCTTTCTTGATAAACTCATTTGGTTAGATAGATGTTTGGGTGATAAAAATATTAATGGTAAGACACCCTTTTGACTCTAAACACATAGGATATTCAAGTTAATTATAGGTTCAAATTTCAAATTATTAAAATAACATGCTTTCAACTTTACTATATAAAAAATCATACAAATATATTTATGTTGCAGAAGTCGTGAAGCATGTGATGTCTATTAATCTTTGACACATTGTTCTCGTTTTATTAGGAAAAAAAACTAAAAGAGGGACTAAATTGAACAATGGCCCATTCTCCATTCTAAAAAAAGAAAAGAAAAGTAACCACAAATTAATGCAGCAAACTTTTATGGTTTCAACTTTTTTTTTCCTAAACAAAACAGATTTTTACTGAAAGGAGCAGAAAATTGTGATGGGTTGTCGAGTATTATTTTTGGTCTCTGGATTCTCAATGCAATTATAAGTTAATCCTTAGTGTTTGAAAACCTACAACTTAATCTCTAAACGTTTTCTTAAAACCTTTTCTTGGTATTTTTCTGACTTTGCCATTTGACAAATTAAGTTCTTAGATACGAAAAAATCAACTTAATAGATCATGTTTAGAGAAAAACTATGATATTTTAACAAAACAAGGTAAACAAAGTCAGAGACTAATCTGTTTATTTTTTAAATATAAGGACTAATATATTTTGGATTAAAACATTTAGGGACTAAAGGCATAATTTTCCTCCTTGGGTCCAGAAGGGATCACCACAAAAAGAAGCAAAATAACACAAAAGGTGATCTCACTCACCGCCTTTAAATAGCAAAGAATCCAAAGAGCGAAGGCCATTTTGGCTTCACTTGTGTTTTTTTCTCACTTCACCATGATCTCTTCCTCTTTAGCCCTCTTTAAACCTCTTTCCCACTTTCTTCTTCTTCTTCCATTTATTTTCGCTTCAGTAGCTTCTCAATGCAACAACCCACCAATCATCTTCAACTTTGGAGACTCCAACTCTGACACTGGTGGACTGGCTGCTGGACTTGGCTTCCCTGTCAATCTTCCCAATGGCCGCACATTCTTTCATAGATCAACTGGTAGATTGTCTGATGGAAGGCTCCTGATTGACTTCCTTTGTAAGTGCCTCACACCACGCTTTTCATTCTTATTGGTCAAACCATCCATATCTAAGGGCCATCCTTGATCGGATGTCATTTTCTTTTTCAAGTTGTGATTTGGTCGTTTGGTATTACAGTATTTACTAGATTTGATATGATAGAAGTGGGGTCTAAAGCATTAACTTCTCATGTCTTTTTGGTTGATGTCATCCACTAATCTTTCTGCTTGTCGGTTGTCACTGTACTGTAAGACCCCAGAAATGCATGCACTTGTCTTGAAATTCTACATTTTGGCTGGATTTGCCCTTGATTTTAGTTATTTTTGGATACCTTTACAGCCCCATTTACCATCACTATAGCAAATAAAAAATCAGTATTTTCACAGCCATGTTGATTTATAGTCTTTTGTAGCCTTAATTACTAAAAAGAACTAGCGTATTGTGTGATTATAGCTTAATTATTCCTAACAAAGTTGGTGTCTTGTAACCTAGCATTGTCTGATTGTCTCAAGATTCAAATCTCACTTACATATCAGTATGGCGAAAAAAAAAAAACTCCAATCTCAAGCACCCATTTGCCCATTCTGACAGGTTACAGTTGCATCGACCAAAGTGTCGAACTTTATTGTATTTGATCTATAAAGTTTCCTTTTTTGAAGGCAGAAAGCTAAAGTCTCAGTATTTGAATTAATTTGTGCAGGCCAAAGTTTGAATGCTAGCTTTCTAAGCCCATACCTAGACTCATTGGGAGGGTCCCGGTTCACAAATGGTGCAAACTTTGCTGTTGTAGGGTCTTCTACTCTCCCTAAATATGTTCCTTTTTCATTGAACATTCAACTAATGCAGTTCCTTCATTTCAAAGCTCGCACTCTTGAACTTGCCACTGCTGGTAATGTTTAGTTTTCTTTCATTGATGAAAGAATTATATGTTAGCTTATTGCTTTTAATAATTTGGGTTAATAGCTCAATCTATTCTTGTCCTTGTATCGACCTGCAATATACTTCAGAAAAAATGAAATCATGGTGTAAGCTAATGTATTTTCAGCTTATGAAGTATTCAGGCTTATAGCATAGATATTGTAAATAAACTTATTATCTTTCAGGTTTTGGAAATTTCATCAACGAAGAAGGGCTTCGAAAAGCACTTTACATTATTGACATTGGTCAAAATGACATAGCCGATTCCTTCTCCAAAAACATGTCCTATGCACAAGTAACCAAAAGGATTCCCACTGTTATTTTAGAGATTGAGAATGCTGTAAAGGTGAGTTTAGCGATCCAAAAAGCTTGGGAAATACTCCCCATGTTGCTGTGTTGGTTTTTTGACTAAGAAAATGTTGAATAGGTTTTATACAATCAAGGAGGCAGAAAATTTTGGATACATAACACCGGGCCACTAGGCTGTCTCCCCCAGAAACTTGCATCAGTTCAGAAGAAGGATTTGGATCCAATTGGATGCATTTCAAGTTACAACAGTGCAGCAAGATTGTTCAATGAAGGACTGCGTCGTTTATGTCAAAGGATGAGGTCTCAATTGACAGAAGCAACTATAGTCTATGTAGATATCTATTCCATTAAGTATGATCTCATCGCCAACTCCTCCAAATATGGTAAGAAAGATGTTCTAACTAGAATGCAGTGATTTTTTCTTTCTCCTTTTTTGAGAACATTTTGTATGTTTTTGGTTACGATTCCGACTGCAAAACAAGAAGACGCATGAAGCACACACACATCGTTCGTCGTTTATTCGGATTCCAAACGCCTTATCGTTTGCCTGCAAATCTATAAAAGATGCATTGCTGGCATATATTGATCCACAGTTTAATTGCTCAATCATACCCTTCAACTGCTAGTTCATGCAGTTTCATTGAAAATCCAAATTTGAGTTTGAACTGAATGCATTGCTTTGATCAATCATTTGGCAATGCAGGGTTTTCAAGTCCATTAGTGGCATGTTGCGGTTTCGGAGGACCTCCATACAACTATGACATAAGGGTAACATGTGGTCAGCCTGGCTATCAGGTCTGCGATGAAGGATCGCAGTATGCAAATTGGGATGGGATCCATTACACTGAAGCAGCTAATTCAATTATAGCCTCCAAAGTGCTGTCAATGGCTTACTCTTCACCGCGTACTCCATTCGATTTCTTTTGCCGCAGTTGATCAGCATCCCAGAAGGATGATATCTCCATGTAGCGTATGTACCCTGCAGTCTGGTGTTCTTTTGACAATGGAAGCAACCAAAAGTATGGTGCAGCTTTTCATAGAGAAGGTTTTGCTTTTTGGAAAGAAAGTTGTAATGGTAAACATGCCAACATAAGAAGTTGGCTGTTGCCTTTCTAATAAGGATCTTCTTCAAGAACCACAAGTAATTCTCCTGTATACTCCTCCTGCAAACTTCTGTGTCTTTCTCCCTCTCGAAAAGAATGAAAACCTACAACTTATATCTCTAAACGTTTTCTTACAACCTTTTCTTGGTATTTTTCTAACGTTTCCATTTGACAAATTAAGTTCTTAGACACAAAAAAATCAACTTAATGGATTATGTTTAGAGAAAAACTATGATGTTTTAACAAAACAAAGGTCAACAAAGAGTCAGAGGACTAATGTATTGAATAGTTCTTTTAATTTCAATAACTAATTAAGTAGTAATTATATTTTTAAATTTATTTGTAACTTAATCATTTTCATTTTTTTAATTTATTTTATTTTTTAATGAGTAAAAAAAATAAGTAAAAAGTATGAAACGATTGATGAGGAAAAAAAATTTCAAAAAAAATAATATTAAATTAGTTATGATCAAAACCGTCAGTAGATTAAATAATTAATTTAAAATAAAAGAAATTATTAAATTCATTTTGCAAATTAAAAGGACTAATTTATAATTTACTATTAAAGTGACCAGCCATTTTTCATTTTTTTCAATATTTTTTCATACAAAGAATACCGAGTTTTCAAAAAAAAATCACATCCCATTAATAAGCATGTTAGAGATGCAGCATCACATATATCGGCACGGCCAAATCAATTGCAATAACTACATATCATATAGTTGATGAGTATGAAAATAGGATTATCATATCAAGACAATCTCGAATTGATGAAAGTTATATGAGAGTGTTCTATATAAATAGTACACCTAACCGGGGTGATCGGTATTTTATTGCACAAATTCGTATGTCACAAAAGTCATTTAACAAATTGTGTGAGGTTTTGAAGACAACCAACCTTTTACAATCAACTAAAAATATGACCATTAGAGAACAAGTGGTGATGTTCTTATAAATAATTGAGCACAATACAAGATTTCGATTTATTAGTGAAAAATTTTATAGATCTATTGAAACAGTGCATAGATATTTTAGAATTGTATTGGTAGCAATTCTAAAATTGTACCCATATCTCATTCAAGACCCACCTAACTCAATACCCGAAGTAATTCCCAACAACGAAAGATTTTCTCCATATTTTAAGTTTAGTTATCTCTTTTATTTGTAATAAAAAAAAATCTTACTTTAAGTAATTTCATTAAAAATTAGATTTTCATAAATATTAATTTTTTATTTAGGATTGCATTGGAGCACTTGAAGGTACCCATATTCCAACAAGTGTATTTGTGGAACTGCAAGGAAAGTATTGTGCTAGAAAGAGCGGAACAACACAAAATGTATTAGCAGACCATTAATTTGAATTAAAATTTACTTATATTTTAGCTGGTTGGGAAGGCGAGTGCACATGATTCTCGTGTCTTAAACGATGTATTATCACAATCCGGAGGACTTAAGATTCCGGAAGGTATTAAATAAAATTTTTAATGTACATTGTCTACTCATATAGTTATGCATATATACAAATATATATTGGTGGTATATTTTATAAAATTTGTAAGTAAATATTATCTTGGTGATGCTTGGTTACGGAACCCGAAATGGAGTGATAACTCCATATCGTGGTGTTTGATACATCTAAACGAGTTTACTAAGCATCCACTCGAGAATGCAAAGGAGTTATTTAATCTTCGTCATTCTTCCTTGTGAACAACAATTGAACGTGGTTTCGACATACTAAAGAAAAGATTTCGATGTATTGATGCTCAACCATTTTGGTCCTACAAAACTCAAGTGAATATCGTGCTTGCAAATTGTATCCTTCATAATCATATAATAGGAGTTAACCACGATGATTATGTTATGAAAGAAATTATCACATCAAGCCAATCCACGATTGTGGATAGAACCAATTTAAGTCAACGAGAAGAAAGTGAAGAGAATAGGGAATGGTTAGCGAAAAGAGATGTCATTGCATTAGATATGTGGAATGACTATGTTATACAAAATGACTTGTGATTTTAAAGCACCATCAATGTATTTACTTATGTTTTACTTCTTGACTGAATGTATGGCTTATTGGTAGATAAATTGATAGAATGGAAAGAGCTTTGTATTTTATTTATCCAACCAAGTTTTTCATTATAATTTTATTATATAACCTTTTTTTATAACTAATTATGTGATATTTTTTATGTTTTACAAGTTGTGTTATTTCAATTACAAAATATCACATTATTATTTATTAGTTTAAGTTTATAAATTTTAATATAAAAAATTTCAACAAGATTAACTTTATTTTTTTCTCATTCTAAAAAAAAAATTAATTCTACTAATAAATATCGATAGGAACATGTTAAAAAAAGTTCAAATAATTTTTGTATGCCTTGTTGAAATTAATTCTACAAAATATTATATTATTATTTATTAGTTTAAGTTTATAAAATTGTCAATATGTCTTATTGAAATTCTTTCAAAATTTATTGATATAACAACTACGATCTATTTTTATATTTTCGTTTTACGTATCAAACAAATGCTTGGAAAATGTTTTCCAGCAGTTTTTCCATTCAACTATCAAACGTCGAATAATATTTTTTGGAAAACAATTTTCTGAAAAATAGCTTTCTCAAAATTGATTTTCCTATTAGAAATTATTCTCTCGTCAAACAAACAGAGCCTATTCATCGAGTCAATCTTTATATTTAAAGCTCTTATCATTCTAAATCAATATTTTTTTTAATGATTATAAGAATATCATTGGATTTCCTTAATTGTTAATTAAGATTATATTCTTTTTATGAATAATTAAGATTATAAGAATATCATTGGACCTCCTTCAGGTTATTTCAAATCAAACTAAAACAGTACACACATGCACGTAATCTACTTTACTTCCTTAAACGACAGGTCTCTCACTATGCCGTCTTAACTCCCCATGACGCAAGTAACTAACGCTTTATTCCATGTGTCCCATGTTGTCTGGAAGCTTTTTGTGCATTTGTCAATTTTAACCATCAAAATCTCAACTGTAACTGTGCTTGCCTTGTGGGTGCTCTCAAGATCTCATTTTTCACTGTTTCTGGCTTCTGGGCACCATCAAAATCTAAACTTTAGCTGTTTTTACCATCTGGATACTTTTAATTTCTTGTTTATCAATGCGGTTCCGTTCGATTCCGTACAGAACTTATAGTTCAAGCTTTGCTGGAATAACCCCTTCTCAGATTTCCCATTTTGCACGGCTTGGCCAAATAGACAGAGCTCGAAAGGTATTTGATGATTTGCAAAACAAAACAGTTCCTTCTTGGAATGCAATTGTGGCTTGTTACTTTCAAAACAAACGGCCACGTGAAGCTCAGAAGCTATTTGATAAAATGCCTGAGAAAAATACGATTTCTTGGAATGGATTGGTTTCTGGTTACGTTAAGAATGGAATGATTTCTGAAGCGAGAAAAGTGTTTGATAAAATGCCCGAGAGAAATGTGATTTCATGGACTGCGATGGTTAGAGGGTACGTGCAAGAGGGATTGATAGAGGAGGCTGAATTTTTGTTTTGGAGAATGCCCGAAAAGAATGTAGTTTCTTGGACTGTGATGTTAGGCGGTTTGATTGAAGACGGACGTGTTGATGAGGCTAGACAGCTTTTTGATATGATGCCAGTGAAGGATGTGGTTGCCAGCACTAATATGATTGGTGGATTGTGTTTGGAAGGAAGGTTGAGTGAAGCAAGAGAAATTTTTGACGAGATGCCTCAAAGGAATGTGGTTGCTTGGACTAGCATGATTAGTGGGTATGCAATGAATAATAAGGTGGATGTGGCTAGGAAGTTGTTTGAAGTAATGCCGGATAAGAATGAGGTGACATGGACCGCAATGTTGGCGGGGTATACGAGGAGCGGTAGGATTGATGAGGCTGCTGAATTTTTTAAGGCAATGCCTGTGAAACCGATTGCTGCTTGTAATGAGATGATTATGGGGTTTGGACTGAATGGGGAGGTGGGGAAAGCCAGGTTGGTGTTTGATCAAAAGAGGGAGAAGGATGATGGGACATGGAGTGCGATGATCAAGATTTATGAGAGAAAAGGATTTGAATTGGAAGCGCTTGCTTTATTTAATTTGATGCAAAGAGAAGGGGTTAGGCCAAATTTCCCATCCGTCATAAGTATTCTTTCCGTTTGTGGTAGCTTGGCAAGTCTTGATCATGGCAGACAGATTCATTCACAGTTGGTAAGATCCCAGTTTGATTTAGACATATACGTCTCTTCAGTTTTGATCACGATGTATATCAAGTGTGGTGATCTTGTGACAGCAAAAAGGGTGTTTGATAGGTTTTCGTCAAAGGATATTGTCATGTGGAATTCCATTATTGCTGGTTATGCACAGCATGGTTTTGCAGAGAAAGCTTTAGAAGTTTTCCAAGAGATGTTCTCTTCAGGTGTTGCACCTGATGAAATTACCTTTATTGGAGTTCTCTCGGCGTGTAGTTACACTGGGAAGGTTAAAGAAGGGCTTGAAATTTTTGAGTCAATGGAATCAAAATATGAAGTGGATCCAAAAACTGAACACTATGCTTGCATGGTTGATCTACTTGGCCGAGCAGGGGAGCTAAATGAGGCAATGAATTTGATTGAAAATATGCCAGTGGAAGCAGATGCTATTGTTTGGGGTGCTTTATTAGGTGCATGCAGAACCCATAAGAATTTGGATTTGGCTGAAATTGCGGCTATGAAACTTCTGCAGCTGGAGCCGAACAATGCTGGGCCTTACATCCTTCTATCAAATCTCTATGCTTCCCAAAGTAGATGGAAAGATGTTGCAGAACTGAGAAAAACAATGAGGGCAAGGAATGTGAGCAAATCACCTGGTTGTAGTTGGATTGAAGTGGAAAATAAAGTGCACATGTTCACTGGGGGAGGCAGTACAAGCCATCCTGAGCATGAAATGATATTGAAGAAGTTGGAAAAATTAGGTGCATCGTTAAGGGAAGCTGGATATTGTCCTGATGCTAGTTTCGTGATGCATGATGTAGATGAAGAAGAGAAGGTGCACAGCCTACGGTATCACAGTGAGAAACTGGCTGTTGCATATGGACTTCTGAAAGTGCCAGAAGGGATGCCTATTCGTGTGATGAAAAATCTTCGAGTCTGTGGGGATTGCCATTCGGCAATTAAATTAATAGCTCAAGTAACTGGGAGAGAGATTATTTTGAGGGATGCTAATAGATTCCATCACTTCAAGGATGGCTTGTGTTCTTGCAGGGACTATTGGTAGTTACAAGCATTTTATTAATGGATTGATGCTGATGTTGGTTGCGGCTTTTGAGGTCACGATCAGGATAGCAACATTTAATTGGCTCCTCCTTCAGAGATTTTGGTGCCAGAAGACACGGTATGAGGCAGTCCTGAATTCATATGATTATACCAACTATCTTTTGAATGCTGATGACTAAACTAGCAACGTTCTGGCAGGTGTTCATAAAGGCCATTAATGAAGTCCAGGTACATAGTCATGCATACCATTTTCTCTAGAAGAGCAGAAGGAAAAACCAATTTCAGGAGCTTTATGTGTGAATAATCAAGATCACAAATTTTGATGCATTGTTACTTATTTTGGATGTCTGTACCTATTTCCTCATCTTTGCATTATTCAGTACATAAAGAACTGTCCTCCATTCAGCGCAGTCAATATTTCACCATTGGAAGTTTGCAACAAATAGAGTGTGGAAGCAATAGCTTTACAATTAGCTTCTGGAGTACGGCAGTACACCATGTTAAAATAGCTGTAAAGGAAGAAACTCCCAGCTTTCCATAGCATGCTAAAATTTTGCATTTACATTGCTGACTAAGAAGGTTTCATGCTTAACTTGGTTTAAATTTTTTTTTTTTTTTTTTCGTATAAAGTGTTAGTGTTATTGGTCCATCCAATTCAAGTGCTTCAAGTATTTTACATTTTCCATTATCCTACGCACCAACATCTTCTAACACTTCTGCAGGTAATAAGCACATTTCGTGTCTAGATCCATGAGATAATACGAGTAAAATTTCATCTGAGGTGCTTGGGATACAAACTGTTGTTGATTGACTTTCATAGGGAAAGAAAGAGGTAAAATATCTGGTATGAATTTTGTATGTCTTTATTTGAACTTGTCTTTTTGGTGCAATATCATAACTGAGTGACCTTTGCAAGAATGATAGAAATACATTGCATCCAAACAGAATTTCACAAGATATATGAAAGGTTGGATGCTTGATCTTTTATTAGTAGTGTAATCTGAGATGATGACTATAAGTTGGAAATAAATTCCTAATACATCTTTTAATAATCTTGATAATCTTGAATATGAAAGATCCATCAATGTTAAAACAACGATATTACAAAAGATGCAAAATTAAAGCCCACCCAACTGACCATACATGCAACCTTGTATTCAACACAAACTTCTCTAACATTGCTCCATCATAAGTTTCATGCATCTTGAAATTAAACTATTCCCAAGCATATCATAGCCCATGTGCTCTATTTCATCTCTACAATCAACACAAGGTAAGGTTCAGGTCCAATTCTTCTTTCTTCTCCTTTCCACTTTCCTTGTTTGAGGAACATGTTTGAGTTATGTGAGTGGATTCTAACCCTGGCTCCTCAAAATCTTCCGGTTGAAACTTTGGAGTCCATACAGATGCTTGAACCTTCTTTGCCTTATTTGCTATCTTACGTGCCTCCTGTACACGCAAACTGTTTGTCGAATACTTGCGAACATCTCGAAGCCTTTTTATTATTGCGAAGAACTTCTCGATCTTCTCATCCTCATCATCGTTTTCTTGCTCTTCTGCAAGGGCATCCAGCTTGGTTTTTCTATCTTCTTCCATTTTTTGCTTGGTGCTGTTTTCACCAAACTTTTATGACTTTTTATTAGTGGTTGATCAGCTCCTGCCTTGTTACGGAAATTGCTTTGGTTGCATATTTCTACTGCCCAGGTCCATTATTCATAGAAAAATGTGCCATGCTAGTGGGGACATGGACCTTTTGTGGGTTGCGATGCCTTTTAATTTGGTCCAGTGAAAGTGACTGAATTGAATCAACTAGGATGCTTGCTTTCGAAGTTGCTATAAACAAGTGGTTGGTTGTATACGTCATAGGATTGCATCATTCAAGAATCTCTTCTCCTTTTGCATAATAGTTACTCAATTTTCTTTTCCCTCGTAATTGTCTTTGTTGTTCTGTTGGGCTCTATAGTATCTGAAATGACACCTAATATTGGCTAATTACTTTAGTTCTCAAATATTTTTATCTTTGGAATTGTAATGAATGAGAATCGTGATCTAAATAGCAAATAATCTTGTGATGAGACAGGTATCGAGGAAAAAGCTTTGAGCATCATTCTGGCTGCCCCAACACAAAAGAAAAGGTTGGTTTAAGCAATTGGCATTATATTATTAGAGGCAACTGTGCAGCCAGGCAAGGTGGAGCCTCCTCCTTTTTCTTTTTCTTTTTATTGGGTAAGAGAAGACGACTCCTAATTGACCATTAAACAAAAGTGTCTTATGTCTCCCTGGTCGAAATTTTGTTGGGAGAGCCAAACTTGCACTTCCATTTCCACAAAGTTCTTCCAACTTTCCACAGATGCTGCCGATAGGGTCACAGTCTACCATTTAGACCAGTCGATTGCTTTTACGAACCACATGAACACAAATTTGGCAAAGCATACATCCCAAACTAGGGTTTGTTTTTGTTGTTGTTGAAAGAAGGTATATTTTCATGAAATATCTTGGACCTAGTCCGAAAACACAAGATGAGCTCTCGTCGAGCAAGTGTTTACATGACCTGGTGTAACCACTTCAAAAGGTGAAGTTATCCCACTACTCGGAGAATATCAAAATCAAATAAAACAAATTTTTAATCATCTCATAGAATGGAAGAACCAGAGAGACAGGATATTAAATATGTTTTGTGATAAACTCAGCACAGCACAGGGAAATGCTGGTCATTGTTATAATTTACATATTGTAGTGATCCTGAAAGCGTAAAAGCTTGACCATCTTCTCAACATGCAAAAAGAAAAGGGCACCTACCTTTCTCTCTACAAAGAAAGCTTTAGGTCTAAGTCTGTGCCTTCTTCTCCCTCATCCTTCTTTTCTTCATCCTTACTCTTGGAAGGACCAGCTACCAGACTACTATCCTTGCCATACTCCAAGAAATCTTCTGGTTGAAACGATGGTTTCCAAGCCACACTAACCTTATTCCCTTCTTCAACTTTCTTGATCTCCTCTCTCTCTTTAAATATTCCATTTGGGTTTCTTCTCATACGATCATGCATTTCTTTTGTACTTCTCAGCAAAGCAAAGAACTTCTGCATCTTCTCTTCTTCTTCATCTTCTTTCTGTCTTTTTTGTTCATCAACACACTCCATCTTCCTCTTCTTTGTTTCCCTCTCCATGCCTAGTTAGCTATTTCCTCAAACAAAAAAAAAAACAAAAACAAAGAAAGAAGCATAAGTAGTAGACTCTAGAGAATCTTTTATTGTATCTTGTTTGATGGGTTAAACCAAACCACAAACTACACTTACGTTATAGCTTGTGACTAGTGAACTAAAAGTCCAGAAACCGTGTCAGTTGACTCTATGTACTAGCGCATGCATCACAAGAAGTCTTTGACAGAAATGGGCTTGGGATTTCAAATTTGATTTGAATATGAATGCATTAGTTTTCGATCTGCTTAAGACTCGATCATAAAACAATTAATCTCGATGTATAAAACCTGACTTCAGAATAACCTTAGCCCGTTGGAATGGATCCAAGACAAATCCTATTTGAATTCTTGCGAATAATAAATATAATAATAATGGTGGGTTTGCATTTTTCTTCTGGTATGATCACTTGCAGATGGAGTGGGTATTAGGGTTTAAAAATAGCTATGGGCAAATAAGGTCACAGGTTGCTGCCCATGATGTTGTGTTTGCATACCGAATGAAGTTGATGCAAGCACCATGACATACTGACATCGTGTATTTTGAGTCTTTCAAGGGGGCCTGCCTGACTTTTTGGTGAGAATGCTTTTGATGGGTCATTTTTGTCCACTTCTTTGGCGTATCCGTAATTTACAAAACGGTGCAAAACTGATGTCTTTGTTATATGTGCACGTCAAGCATCCATCACAGTAGCTATGATCAATTATTATCATATAATGATGTCATATGATGATCTAATACTAGGTTAAGATAATATTTTAAGGTTGTCTAGGTTAAGATAACGTTTTAGGTTGTCACTTGTCATCAGTTGAGATGGGCTTGAGCCAAGTTGATGCATGACATGAAATTTGTAGACAAAATCAAGTTGCTTCATTCGAGCAAAGCTGGACTCTTTGAGAGCAAGAATGAAGGGTCTATTTAAAGAACCAAAAAGTTTTGGGATAAAAGCAACAACTTCCCTAATAAGCATCTTCCACCTACTTCTGTAAGATGATGACATACATTACAGTGGATAGAGATTGTCTGCCATGAATGGATTCAATATAGGAGAATTAGATCATAATTATTGACTTTGTGTTCACATGAGCAATGGATGATGAACCTAAACGTTCGGATTTATCTAATTAAGTGACAATTTACCTAACTAGCTAGGTCACAGTTGCATTATCTGATTTAGCCAAGTTTAAACTAGAAGGAATGAACTGGGCTCTTCGGCATAGTCGACTAGACTAAATGCAGAAACATGATGCCTTCCAACTCAAAACAAAGGAAGAACCAGGTGGGACCTGAATTCATAGTATTCTTACTGAATTTTAAACAGAATGTTCGTTCAATAGGTAAGCTGTTCGCACAAGAACCCTTATAATGGGCCAGGCTAGGATGGCAAATCCATAACTCCACAATCACTGGCTTTTTATTCAACTTTATTGACATGCAAGTACACTGTGCTACTGATATGCAAAGTTAATGGAAAAGCTAGTCAAGTTCTTATGGTAAAACACATCATGATATTGTAGGATACAGAAGAATATGATTGGAATTTATGGATTCTCAAGAACATGCTTAGGAAATTGTATGAAAAGACGGATAGGGATCTTCAAAGCTTTTCTCCGTGATTGTATGGCCATTTGGAGCTTTGCTGAGAAGCTTCAATTGCCCCTCGGCAGGCCATTATTTTGCAAGTTAAGAAATCTGGGCTGTGGTGGCAGAAAATCAAATAGGGGAACATGTTAGTTGCACATTTCAGTAAATTGGTACAGATTTTACGCGATAAACATATATACAAAACATTTATTTCTTCCAGTCCAGTAGGTAGAATGACTATTGTATACCGCCTATCATGTATCTAGTTGTTCTCGAACATCAGATTCAGAGCCTTCAACAAGCTTCAGTCATCTATCCACCGAACCCCATGTTTGGCATAAAGATAATATGGTCCAATTGGACCTCTACCTCCCAGTTCGTAGAGTTCTGGTGTTGTATGGTTCTTGTCTATCTCCTGTAGGATTGGAGTTAGAATATTCCATGCAGCTGCAAGCTCATCGCTTCTCATGAAGAGATGGTTGTCTCCATCAATGACATCAAGAAGAAGATGCTCGTATGAATCAGGCACCTCTGCATTATACCTATTAACATAAACAGTTATGCCAGACATCAAATCGTGGACCAAAGTTAGGTGTTGAATTGACATTTCAATAGGAATTGTTAGTTTTAACACAACTAGTTTTACAACATGAGAGAGCTTACTTGTCCTTATAGAGCAAATTAAGTTCAGAGGCATCCAACTGCAAGCCTAGTCCTGGAATCTTATTATTAATCTTTACCAGGATGGCTTCATCAGGTGCATCGCTTAGAATCAGCTCATTAGTAGCCAGATCAATGTTATGCCCAACACGTTCACGATAGAGATTTCCTGGGACATTACGGAACTGTATACGTATCTCCACTCTGCATCATGTAGTTCATCATGGTGAGGAAATTCAATGTAGTGTAAACAAATGGTACACCATTTGCTTCCCTAGTAACTATTACAAATATTGAAGAACAAAATGTATGCTCATATGTGCATATAAATACCCCAGATACTACCCTTGTTCTCTAGTTTCTTTCAGTATAGTATTCAAGAGTTCAGCTATGTACACCCTGAAGGTTCACGATAAAGGTTTCCTGGGACATTACGGAACTGTATACGTATCTCCACTCTGCATCATTGAGTTCATCATTGTGAGGAAATTCAATGTAGTGCAAACAAATGGTACACCATTTGCTTCCCTAGTAACTAATACAAATATTGAAGAACACAATGTATGCTCACATGTGCATATAAATACCCCAGTTACTACCCTTGTTCTCTAGTTTCTTTCAGTACAGAATTCAAGAGTTCAGCAACGTACACCCTGAATGTGAGAGTTTGGATTCCTGAACCTTCGTCTTCCAATTTGAAAACAATGAAGAGCCAAGGAGAAATCAGGCAATCTCTTAATCAAAGCATCTTGGCTTTTTGATGCAAAATTAAAATCTTCTAGATAATTTATCTTTAGAAGTTCCCCGGAACAAGTAATGCTAACATGCCGATACCTAACTTGATGCAAACTTCAAATTAAGCTCTCTATCCCAAAAGATTAGATTGCGTATTTCCTATTTCTAAATCAGGTTTTGATATGCCCTTTTTCGTTTGCTTGAGAGATTCTGATTGCTTTATCAAGACAGGAATAAAAGAGTCCCTTTTTGAAGATAAATCACAGAACACTAAATTAAATTCAAGCTGAGTCAAAATCGAGTCTCAAGCAAAGCACTTAGTAGGCATGACAATTGGTCCAACAATTAGACAAAAATCTAAGTCGAGGAGCAGATTATAATTTAGCAAACAGACTGACAAGGCTAAGAAGTTCTATCACAGCTAGTTATATATAACACCAATTTCACAATTAATTTTCACCTGTGTTTGATGAGTCCCAGGCCCGTTTTAATTAGAAAAGGCACACCATCCCAGCGTGCATTATCAATGTATAATGCAGCAGCAAAAAAGGTCGGCGTCAGATTGTTTAAATTTGCATCGACTTTGTCTCCAGAAGTATCTTTATATTGACCAAGAATGACATCACTAGGATCCAATCTGCAAATTGATCTTAAAACCTTGACCTGAAAAGAAGCTTTTAATGCAATAAGATGAAATGATGTTTGTTTTCACCATGCATGCATCAAATGATCAATTACCTTTTCATTTCTAATATCTTCTCCATTAAGACTTATTGGTGGCTCCATGGCAAGTAGTGCTATTGTCTGGAGTATATGGCTATGCACTATGTCCCTAATGATTCCATAACCATCAAAATACCTGCATAAAATAGTGAAAAATATCAGAAATTGTATTTAGAACCTGTAGTTGACCTAATTCACTTTACTGAGCACTAGAGGAAAGAAATTATTGGTCATGGTAACCTTCCTGTCTGTGAGTGGAAGTCCTCTGACAAAATGATCTGAAATATAACGCAACGATTCAGTGAGTGAGCAGTATATTCCAGAAAGATGTATTTGAGGTTTATCCCATCATTGATTGTCAAAAAAATTTATAAAGTAAATAAACTCAGCAAACTCACCTGTATATTGCGTATATAATTTCTGCTCCATAACGGCTCAAAAACCAGATTCGAGAACCTTAACACTGTGAGGTTCTCAATGAGGTTCCTTCCTAAAAGATGATCTATCCTGAAGTGCACAAAATTTAAGTTATATGCCAACAGACTGAAGCGAATAGATACAAAAGAAAGTGTGCTTATTGACACTAGAAATAAAATACATGGCGCACGCACACACAGAGAGAGCAGGTATAGCTAATGTCACACCTGTATAATTGCTTCTCCTCAAACTTAGAGAGAAGAGACTTTGTGAATTGGTGAGAAGATTGTGCATCAAACCCAAAAGGTTTCTCAATTATTATACGATTCCAGCCATTATGGGTTTGGGCATTATCAGCAAGACAGGATGCAACATCAAGAAGTGCTTCCTGTGGCACAGATAGGTAGAATATCCTGTTTGCTTTAGATCCCCCTGCATCGGGTACACTATTACAGAATTAATTCTCAAACTGATCCAGCCTAAGTGTTGATAAAACCCTGCCGGCCCAGAAAGCAATTTTTTTATGTGCAAGTATACGTCAGTGATAAGCATACCTCAATCTGCTCCATTCTGGCATTTAGCTTTGACATCCCTTCTCTATTATCGTAACCTCCATTAAGATAGTAAGTTCTATTAAGAAAAGCCTCCATTTTGTCCCCACAGTTCTGTCTGAAACATTTTTTCAAATTTTGGTAAAGGCAGAGCTGAGCTGAGCATCTTCGGCGTATGAATATCGATAAGACATAAGCATTGGTGCAATTATTTATGCTATTATTTTTAACAACCAGTTTATTTAAAGAATTTCTCAATAAGCATTGTCATGGTTGATGTTAAGAACTCAATTGACAGGCCTCTCGAATAAAGATCAAAGAAATGGATGCTCTCACTGTGTAAAGCCACCTACTGTAAGCATTTTAATGCCCTCCCAGCAATGTCACAAATTGTAAGAAACTAACATAAAAGTATATCAGATGTAGTTGAGCAATGCTTTTCATGCAAGCCAGTTTAGAACTGTTATGTACAAATTTTGGGATTTCTAAAACCACATCCTTGATGAAATTAAGTAATCTAAATATGTAATTCTTATCAGCATACTATAAGAGAAAATTTGTAAGGTGATAAAAGAACTATACTGATGATCAATGCGGCAAGTCAAATTTGAGGCTATAATGTTTCTCATATCTTCATCTGTCAAATCCTTTCTTGAATAACCAAAGATACCTACATCCTGCAGCCACACAACAAGTAAAAGACCGAGATGTAAACAAAACCTGTAAACCACACTTAAAAGATATTAGTATAACACATTGGAGACAAGCTTGACCGGTTTATTGATGTATTTCCATTTGTCCTAAGATTACTAGGGGCATATCCGCATGCTGTGCTAACCAACAAGAAATAAGTAAACCGCACAAAATTTGCACAAACATTGAACATCGACATCAGAGCAAACCTCACCTCAGGTAGAAAGCCACTATAATACAGAGCAAATAAGGCTGGGAAAACTTTCCCCCTTGCAAGCTCACCAGTAGCTCCAATGACTGCAATGCAGAGAGAAGGCCCTCTACCTCCCTCAGTCGCATTAGTCAAGGAATGACTTGGTGAAGGCACCACATTTGTTAAGGGATTAGCTTGAAGTTCATGCAACGAACTTTCTTCAGGTTCCGGAGCTCTTTTAGTCTCTTCAACGGAATCTACAGTTAAAAACACGCTTTCACAAAAAATTCAACTCAAATTGACACTCACAGACACATACGCGCTCCTTTGGTAATAATCATCAGAACAAAACACAAACTTTCAGTTTAATAAATCATTAACCATGAACGCACTCTTCGAAGGGATCTACAGTCCAAAAACAAACTTTCACTACAATTCAACTAATCAATAATGATCACATTCAACAATGAATATTTATTTCAAATCAAAAACTCTTTCCTTTTCTATGATGAATTAAACACAAACTTTCACTAAAATGAATCATTAAGACTCAAAACACAATCTTTCACCACAAATTCAACTAAAATTGAGACATACTCCCACTTGTAAGTAACAACAATCACAATTAACAATGAACCATCACTAACCATCAGGCAAATTTTGATTCCTTATAGTCATGAACTCCTTCAAAGGTCCAAACTCCCCATTCTTTTGCCAACGATTGAATCTTTCAATCATCCATAGCTTTAACCCACAAAACCTTCTACATAAACCAGCACCTCCTCCATAATTCTTTGTCCCCACCTAACATAAACCACCAAAATGCAACAAACTTCAAAATATACTCAAACAAATAGGCATTTGTAGAACCACAAAAAGTTTAAAACTTAATAGTGCAAAATCTCACTAACCTGCAAGCTACAATAAGGGACTTTGAGAGAACTTGAACAAAGTAGAAACGGGTCTAGAAGTTGAAGAATCCCGACATGGTATCGATAAAGCTGGAAATGAAAGTGACATCCCTTCTGGGATTTAGTGGGGTTTTGACAGTAAAAGTTCAGTTCTTTTAGCCATGATGAAAGAAAGAGGGAGATTGATTGTTGGTGTAACCTGGGTTTGGTGAAACTGGTTGTAGGGGATTAGACTAGGACACGTTGGAGACTGCGATTGGACTTTTCCGGTGATTGATTGGTTGTTACTCCGATGGACTTGTAGGTCCTACTTGATAGTGATCTTGTACAAGAGGGAGTCACTAATTACAATCGATTGTTTGTTCATGTCGTTTTTTGGACGGCTAATGATTTTTTTTTTCCACCCTAGTGGTAACGTTATCTTCGGGTCAGATCAAATTGCTTTCCAATCAAGTTTCAAGTAGACCATCATAATTTATATATAAACGACTGAATACACAAAAAGATATCATTTTACTCATAATTTTAAATAACGATCGGTTGTTGAAAAACGATCGAAATCATAATCACGGATCGTAACTTATCACAACAATAGTAAAATAACAATTACGACAATCGATATTATGAATATATTAATAATTATTAATAAATTTATTATAATTCATATATTTTTAACGAGTTTTACTAATTAAACATACTAATATGTAATAACATTTTCAATAGTTTAATATTATACAATAATAATAATTGAATTTATTATAAAAAATAATTAATAAAACTTTTAATAGATTAATATAAAAAAAAACACTATAATTTCAATATACATATTATAAAATATTCATCTTAAAAAAAAATCATCGTAGAGAATCATAATAATAGTTATCGTCTTGTTGTTGATGTTATGATCCTTATCTATCAAAATTACAACCATAACTAGTTTTGAAAAATAAATTAAAAAATAACATAAAATTAAAAATAATAATAATAAGTTCTTAAAACAAGAAGAACCATGTAATTTATTTTTTCAAACCAAAAGGACTAATTTATAATTTATTCAATTAAAACATGTATTTACTTTGCAAGCCTTTTATTTGTGCATGCAAGACAAACAAAATAGAATAATAAAGATTAAATTATACATTAGTCCCTCTAGTTTTGATAAATGAATTAATTAACCTTTAATATTTTAAAAACTAATTATGTAATTTTTTAATCGAGTACTAATCATGTTTAATGTATTATATTTTATTCTATAAAATATTTTTTTCGTCATTTTTTTCATGCTATAAATTTATTTTTTCCTTTTTTTCTATTTTTTAAAACTATAATAAAAATAAATTAAAAATATAAAATTAACAAAATAAATAAATTATTCGTTTTTGAAATAAAAGAACTAACTAAATTATTGTTTCAAAATAAACGGACTAATTTATAATTTATTCAATCAAAGCTTGCGGGTATTTGATATTAGAAACCTTCCCTTAGGTTCTCTTTCTTTTTAAATAAAAGGATCTTTTTCCAAGTTCATCTCTCTTCTCTCGTACGAGTCTTCATTTCTTTTATGAAAACCTTTACGCCTCTTATACGTAATCTAACTAAATCACAAGATGGTTCTTTAAACACTAGAGGAAGACTTGTTTTGCAATAATTTACTATCCATTTAACATACAACAAATTATATCAACTATACGATCAATTTGGAATAGAAGTAATTCAACTATCAATCTTAATCCAAAAATCATGATCTTAGGGAATGATAAGATTGTGAGGTGAGATTTTTTGGTTGCTTTGGTAACTTTTAAAAAAGTTATTTAGACAAATTTTGCTATCCTTTTCTCGGCTAAAACACCACAATATGCTCTAAAATTAATTTTTTTATCTTTAAACACACTATGTGTAACCAAATAAGCGAATAGCTAAAAATCAAATCCTTAATGATCTTTTAGACTATCTAGATTTAAAACGAGCCAAAGCAAAATTGATAGAAAGACTTAGAAACTAGAGCGAAAAGAAAGGAAATGGAGAGTCTGCCTTTGGAAATGATACCAACGGCAAGCCTAGTTGAAATTCTTAAACAAGTAGAGAGAAGATGGTGGTTTCATTGCTTGTTTTATATATAAATAAATTTTACCAATCAAATCACCTTGATTTATATTAGATTTGAGTATATGTAACCGGCATATGTTTTAATAAGCCATGATTAGTAAGATTAGCTTGGTTGGTAAGCGGTTAGAATTTGAATTCTGTTCGAATGTAAATAAAAACAAAATCACAAAGTGGTAGCTCGGCGATAAATAAATATTGACTTGTAGGTTAGGTTTAGGTTTGATTTTTATGGGTAGCACTCTTGAGAATTTATTCTCGGAATACTCAAAATTGTACGTTGGGAAGTGCTTCTTATCCATGCGAAGAGATAGATTAGTTACGATAAAAGAATTAATTAGCCTTTAATGTTTTAAAAACTAATTATATAATCTTTTAATCGGTATTGATCATGTTCAATGTATTATATTTTATTCTATAAAATATTTTTTTATCAATCATTTTCATGGTATAAATTTATTTATTTTTCCTTTTTCTATTTTTTTAACAACAATAAAAGTAAATTAAAATATATAAAATGAATGAAATAAATAAACTATTAGTTTTTGAAATAAAAGGACTAACTAAATTATTGTTTCAAAATTAAAGGACTAATTTATAATTTATTCAATCAAAACTTACAAATATTTGATATTAAAAACCTTCACGTGGATTCTCTTGCTTTTCAAAATAAAAGGGTCTCTTTCAAGTTCGTCTCTTTTCTCTCATTCGAGTCTCTACCTTTGTTATCGAAACCTCTTTGTCTCTCGTCTTTGCCTCTCTCCCTCTCATCTCTACCTTTCTACCCGAATTTCGGTAACTAAAATGGCTGAAATTCTACTTTTTTTATAATGTCGTTATTTATCGTTATTCGTGTGAAACAATATCGAGGTATCCGTAACATCAAATAATGGTAATGGGGCGTCCTATTATCGTTATATAATAGCGATTATGCCTTTTTTGAAAACTATGATTCTACTCGTCACTTCATACAAGTTGATGACACTTCACTTATATAAAATTTAATACATTAATTGTTACAAGTTTTATTTTCTAAACTCAAAATAGATATACTATTACATATCTTATCCGTATAATAGCAAAATCTCTTAAAGCCTATTCAAATAATACACTTCTTTTTGTAACTAAATAAGTCATCGGATGGTTCTCTAAGCACCGGAGGAAGACTTGTTTTGCAATTATTTACTATCGATTCAACATACTACAAATTATAACATATATACAATCAATTTGGAATTGAAGCACTTAAACCATAAATCTTAATATGAAGATCACGAAATTAGGGAATGATATATTTGTGAGGTGAGATCTTTTGTTATTTTTGTAACTTTAAAAAAGCTATTTAGATAGATTTTATTATCTTCTTCTCAACTAAAACACCACGAGTATGCATCAAATTTAATATTTTATCTTCAAACGGAAGATTTGTAACTAGGTGAGTGAACAACAAAAGATCATATCCATAATGATCTTTTAGATCTCCTAGATCTATTATCTAGATTGAAAATGAGCCGAGAGAAAAATTGATAGAAAGAAACTAGAGCTAAAAGAAATGAAATGGAGGGTTGCTTTTGGAAATGATACCAACGGCAAGTTTAGTTGAAATTCTTAAACAAGCACACACACGAGAGAGAGAGAGAGAGAGAGAGAGAGAGAGAGAGAGAGAGAGAGAGAGAGAGGGTGATTTCATTACTTGTTTTATATATTAGATAACCAATATATTTTTCAATAAGCCATGATCGGTATGGATTAGCTTGGTTGGTAAGTAATTAGAATTTGAATTTTGTTCACATATAAATAAAATTGAGACTCGAACATAAGATCTCTAAATGCATTCAAATCAAAAGTTTGTAGATTTGAATAAGGATACTACGAGTATATATATAGGGGCGGCCCAAGTAGAACCCTATAGGGGCCTTAGCCCCCTCCCCCATCCAACTTATATATAGAGGGCGGACCACTAGTAGAACTCTACGGGGGCCCCGACCCCTTTCCTCGTCCAACTTTTTTTTTCCACATGAAATATCCCATCCCATGCTACACTCTTTCATCATCTTTTTTATTTTATCAAAATTTTACTTTTAATACGACACCATCTTAATTCATGTTTTAATTGATTTTTTTTTAGAATGCTTAAATTGGAATTTTAATTAACCTATTGATAAATGAGTGTATTTTTACACAAAATAATTAATTTGAGGGCTTAAATAAATGTAAAAATATACTTATTTCTATATAAAATATTATTTATGCACGGAAAAAATCACCTAGGTTCATAGAATATTCTTACGCCTTCTTAATGATTTTTCTATACCCATTGAATAATTTTCAAACATATTTAAAATACTCAAAATAATTAATTTGCACAAAAAATACTATTTATACATCGAAAACATTCATTGAACATCAAAAAATTCACCCAATGACACAAAATAATCTAATACCCTTCAAGTAAATATTCTATGCAAATAGAACATTTTTCATACACATTTAAAATACTCAAAATATTTATTTTGCATAAAAATTACTATTCATGCATCAAAAAACATATAAAATATTCACTTAGCATAGAAAAATTATCCTAGAGAGATACACATATCATTTAGGATTGATGTCATTTGTAAGTTGGAGTAGAAATTTTATCTTTGATACTTTATCGATTATGAAATGCTGCAATTAAAGATGCAATTTGAGCGTTTTGATCATGTACAAAATCTTTTTGATTTCAAAACATTATCGGCTATATCCGATTTTGTGTCAATGGTTGATGAATATAAGAAAATTTGAAAGTTATCCACTTTTGTATAGATTGATAATACTTATTCTTATTGTTTAGTTTTTAGTTGCCACGGAACAATTATTTTCAACTATGAGCATAGTCAAGACTAAATTTTGTAACAAAATAAAAAAATGACTTTCTTTTCGATTCTTTGTTGGTATATATTCAACAAGAAATTGTTGAAAATTTTAGTATAAGTTTGCTTATAAATGATTTTCGTTACTCGAAATAACGAAGATTTCTATTTTGATTTATTATATTTTGAGACTATTTTAACATATATATTGATATGTTATTTATAATATATATAAGTTTGTGTAAATCATTACAAATTTATAAATATTTATTTTAGTTTCCGCTGATATTTGATTCTCGCATTCGCCACTATATATATATATATATATATATATATATATATATATATGCATCTTTTATTATTATTATTATTATTATTTGAAAAAAAGGAGGAAATCTTGATAAGTTTTATTAAATAAAAAGCAAAAGTACAAGGATGAACAAACCGGTCGTAACCCAAGTACGAGGGATAAGAAAACATAACGTATATAATAAATATAACACAAAAAATGTTATATTTTATAAGCGTAGAAACCAAATCTATCACACCTAGAAACAAGTTTAACATTTGAAGACAACTTGTGATAAATAAAATACTCTTTTTTTCCTTTATGATTATAAGACATATTAACTAATCTATCAACCACTATATTCTCCGATTCTTTAAGATATTCTAAATATTTTTGGTCCTGATATAAATATCGTAGGAATACCTTCAAATATAAATAGATTTGAAAAACAATATTCTTTTTGGCAATCAATCAATGAATCAAATTCATTAAAAACATAATGATGTTGATAAGGTACACTTGCTTTCCTTCTCGAGACTTACAATATGCATGCATGTTTCCATGTCTCCCTCGTGGCCTCATCCATAAGGTCGGCTACAACGCAATAGTCAACAAGCAACCACTCTATGTCTCTATTATTTTCTGCAATTTGCAGAGATCTATTATGAGCCCCTTCTAGATTAATAAAATAGCACGTGATTTAACAAGAGTAATCCTATCCCATTTTTCGTTTTTATCTTTTTTTTACGCTCAGATCCCTTTCGTACGATTTTAAAGATATATTTTTTTAATGACGCTTGAGGTCGGAGCTTAACAATTGAGGACTTGCCTGATAACTATCCGAGTTCGACTCTCTTTACTCACGTTTATCACTCTCACGAGTGTCTTATTTCTACACCGAGCTTGTAGGATGTTCAATGAATTCGGAGATTAATCGTGATACGTGTAAGTTAGTCCGAACATCTTGAGTTATCGGAAAAAAAATATATTTTTATCTCGATGCACTATTATTAAAAGGAATTTAAATACGGTGTAAATAATTAACTCATACTTTTGTTTGAATAAATTATGAAGACCCTTTAAATCCACATGATCTACTTAAATTTATCAAAAGTAAAAAGTGGGTGATCAGTGATCATCCATTATTTGATCAGTACTTTTAATCATTATTCATTTGAAGTGATTATGGATTTAAAAAATAGTATATTATAAATTAGTTATTTTAGCTTTAAGAAATGAAATAATTAATCTTTTTTTTAAATTAATTATTTAATTCCTTAATCAGCTTTAACTACATTAAATTTAATACTATTTTAATTTTAAAATATATTTTTTCTCACATCAATCTTTTCATAATATCTATTTTTTTTTCAAAAAATAACAATCAACTTCCATAGTAATCAAGATTAATTCTTTTTTTAAATCTAATCATATATATTTAAGAAAATAAAAATTCTCAAAATACAAATTTAAAATTTAAACTGAAAAAATTAAGGTACGAAGCATATGTCATTCACCATCAAACCTAGCCTTGGGACTTGATTAAATAGTAAGTCGAAACTATAATGTATAGATTTCCTTATTGAATTTGTCTATTTAATTGCTGTGATGGATGCATAGCTAACCCACTTGTAAACCTATGAAACCCCAAAGACAAAGTAGCAGTAGAAGTGGTAATAAAATGAAGGAATATTAGTTTGTGACGATGAAAGCGAAGAGATGTCTGTCATCCACAGATTGCCAAAACCGACAAATCATTGGCTAACCAGAAAACAAGACAAAACACCAAAGTACCTCCTCGCCCTTGTGAATGAATATACAATGTTTAGGTACCCCACCATTTACGAGTAAATTATAAATTAGTCCCTATAGCTTTGAAAAGTAAATTAATTAATTCTTTTATTTTAAAAAATAATCATTTAGTCCTTTTTGTCCATTTACGTTTTTTTGTTTTAAAAAATAAAAAATATATACTACAAAAAAATCGATGAGAAAATAAAACATATCTTAAAATAAAATAATATTAAATTAAATACAGTCAATAATAATCGAGAGACTAAATGATTAATCTTTTAACTAAAAAAACTAATTAACTTGTTTATTGAAACTAGAGGGACTAATTTTTAATTTACTCCCACCGTTGAATTCATTGAGAACCTTATGCTAGGCGCCGTGCCTTTTACGACCATTTTCCTAACAATGAAGATACCAATTTGGATTTAACTACCATATTTTATAAATGCGAGATAAATTCTAAATCTTAGCTATATAACCTCCATACTCTTGCATACTATTAGGGTTTATTTTTAAAAAAATTATTTCAGTTTGATATCTTATGTTATTTTATATTTAATTGATTATTATTTATAAATTTTTGATTAAAAAATATTATTTATTTATCTCTATTCACATTATTGACTAAAAAATTTATAATAATGTAAGGAAAAAAAATTTCAAAATCAATGGATTTTTAACTAAAAACTTATTTTATAAATTATTTTTTCTAAACATTTATTTGCCTTAAAATTTTTAATTAAAAAACCGAGAGAAAAAAAAGGTAAGGACCAAAATGACAAAAATGAAGCAAAAAAATTACAGATTGAAAAAATAATGTTTTAAAAAGAGATCAAAGTGTAATGTCATAAAAACTTTCATAATAAACTTATTTTTTAAGAATATTTATTATGAAAGTTTGAAAATTATGAAAAAAAGAAACACATGAATCTATATGAATAGTGAAATAAGTCTAGATAAATAGTATATAAATAATAAACCAATATTTAGTTTTATTTTTTTTTTTTGTTAATCCCAGTTATTTTTTAAAGATTATGTTAATCCTAAGTAAAAAAGAAAAAAAAGGATTAAGGATATGTAAAACTAAGCTTGGTGATAGTGGTATTTTTTTTTCACCATTTATCTTATAACTTAAAGTTTATCAATACAAATATATTTTCAATGGTACATTTTATCAAATATTTTTTTCTATAACGATGAGGAAAAAAAAAAAAGTATTACAAGGCATGGAATTCGAAAACCCAATGGGTCTTGAACTACTAAAAAGAATCTTTCATTATATTGTTATAATTGAAGAAATTGTGGTAATTCAGATTCTAACTTTATTAATTGAAAATACCATAAAAACACAATTACTAGCCTAAGATAAAAAGTAAAAAAGAAAGAAAATAGCTTTACATGACATCTTAATGCAATAATTTATCATAATATAAATTATCTAAAATTTGGACGGACGAACTCTATCCTATCTCTAAACACCCAAATTACCTAAAAATCTAAAATCATTGCACCGAAAATTAAGATAATGACTGTAACCAATGATTATAAACCATTTATGGGTCCCATAGTGTGTGCTTTTCATTTTCTACGAATGCATCCTTTTTTTATTTTTATTTTTTACCACCAACAATCATATAAATAGAAAAAATGACATAAATTACAGAAGCTTTTGTTGTATTAGTACTATTAGATTCATTGATTACAAAATATCCTGAATTATTGGTTAGGAAAAATAATCTTATAATTTTTTCTTTTTAATTTGAGCTTTTAAATTTTTTATATGTAATTATTATTATTATTTTTTTATTTCGTATCAATCTCAAAACATATTATACACATTTAACATTTAATATTTAATATTACAAAAAAAATTTAATTACATTAAAAAGTTAAAAATTTAAATCAGAAAAAAATAGAAACTTTTTTTTTCTTTTAACTACTAATTTACACTACTTCATAACCAATTGGCCTTGTTGTTGTTATTATTATTATTATTATTATTTATCTTACATATTTTTTTCCTTTTAAACTAATACTGATATTTTTCAACTCCTCCTTTATCTCATCTTCTCTCTCTCTCTCTCTCTCTCTCTCATAACCTGATTGGAATCTTTATCAGTTCTTCATTAGTGTTAAATCAACTTTTTGGCCACAGATAAGACTGGTGGTTGAGTCATTCATTACCCTTTTTTCTTTCCTCTCTTACTTTCGTTCTTTTGAAGATTACAGGTAAGAAAATTTAGGAAAGGTCTCATCTTCTTCTTCTTTTTGAATTTCAAGATGGATGTTTTTAGTCCCTTTGTTTGTCTGATTTCTGGGTTTTGATTGTTTTCTTGATGTGTATGGTTATCTGGCTGGTCCTTGATCAATTGTTTATTGATTGTGTAGCAGCTTGAATTTTGAGTTCAGGTGGATAGCAGTGGTTTTTTCATCTGGGGTTGTGTTTTCGTTTTCCTCTGAAAGGTGTGACCTATTCTAGCTGGGTGGTACTTAATCGATTTTGGATTAGATTAAGAGATTCATTTTCAGAACCTTGACATGGGTTATTAGTCGTTTTCATCTTCTTTTGATCAATAAAGATATAACTTTACTCTTTTGTTGTGTTTTATCTCGAATTGAGGCAATTGGTTCTGTCACTTAAGTTTAGGATTGTTAATTTCTTCGTACAAAGTTACAGAAAGGTGTGATATTTTGTTTCAGGAGGACTAGAAATCTTCAGGGTCTAGTCATGATAGCTAAATGATGTTTACAGTATGTAGTTTCAGTAATTTTTAAGCAAACATTGATAGGATTTTGGGCTTAATGAGTGAATTAGTTTTCGTTTCGTTACCTACTATAACAAAGTATAAAGGCATTCTAATTTGTTTTAGAATGGTGATGATCATTGAAAATGTATTTGTTCTATGTTCGGTCATTCTTTACTGATTCTAATTGTGTGGCAGATGAACTCAATTTTTTTTTTTCATGCAGGTGCTTGGATCTAAATCTAATTTGCAGGATACAGTACCTTTTTGATCAAGTAAATCTAAAAAAAAAAAAAAGGAAAAAAAAGTGAATTGTTAATGGGGTCTGAAGGGCCTCCAGCTGTAACAATCCATGTGACAGGATTCAAGAAATTCCATGGAGTTGCTGAGAATCCAACCGAGACTATTGTTAGTAATCTAAAAGAGTACATGAAGAAGAAGGGCTTGCCAAAAGGTGTGATTCTCGGGAGTTGCAGCATTCTCGAGACTGCAGGACAAGGAGCACTTGCTTCACTATATGAGATCTTTCGGTCTTCCATAAAGTCGAAGGATTCTGAATCTTCAAGTCCGGGAAGAATTATTTGGGTAGTTAAGCATATATCTTTTCTATCATTTCTCATGCATATTGCTCAGCTCTTTCATAGGTCTTTGGATTTCTGCATACTGCTTTATACCTTTTTTTTAACATGATTTTTTCAGCTACACTTCGGGGTCAATAGTGGGGCAACAAGATTTGCCATTGAGCATCAGGCTGTCAATGAAGCTACTTTTCGCTGTCCAGATGAGCTGGGATGGAAACCACAGGTTAGACATATCTTGAAGGTCTTTTCTTTTATTGGTTCTGAGCCTTTAATTTTTTCATTGTTCTGTCTTCATAATGAAAAGTTCCTTTGTTTGATTTGCAGAAAGTGCCCATCATTCCTTCAGATGGTGGAATTTCACGAGTTCGAGAGGTATATATGGGTGTCAATTCACTCTTTCTTTTCCTTTATTTTTCAGCAGTTGATGCTATGTCAGATGGCAAATAGAAATAATCAATTTGTTAGTGCATTTTTTTTAGGCATCTTATTATGATATAGATTTTCTTTTTCCCTTTTGGAGTTGGACCTTACTTTTGATATCCAAGGCTACTTATTTTCTATTACATTCTATCTTTTCCATGGCACCGAAGTTGCAGAATATGACATGAGCAGTCCTCCTTTCTTTTCAATGTTCCTTTGCTTTTAAAGCAGAGATATTAGGTGGTATGATTTTAGTTTAATAGAAGCTGCCTTTTTTCTTGAATGGAGGCCCCAACTTTGATTTTGGAATGGCGTACTTTATTCAGTTTGAATGCTGACATGACTTGAAACCACACAATTTATGCTCCAAGAAGTATCTGAACTTCTTTATTCCTTGCTTCCTCATCACAATGTTTACGGTGTCATACCATATTATCAATTGATTTTTTTTTTGGTGCACTATTTAATTGTCCATTTATTTCTTGGAATGTTTTAGGGCCGAACCATGTCAACTTAAACTGTCTTGATCCTAATCTCCTGTTCAATTGCTAATGGCAAAGGAAACATGAAGAAATTTCCTGTGACATTAGTTTGGATTCGATTACCCGTCAGTGGTTATGGATCTCAATATTTCTTCTTATTGCAACCTTTATGCCATTAAGCAGAGAAATTGGATCAGGGGATGCTAATAGCTTTATTACATAGCGTGTATAAACTAGAATCTATTTAGAGTTGCCTCAACAGAACCAGATTATGTAAATGAAAAAAGGAGAAAACTATCCCTTCAGCTTGCATTGCCTTTTCGTTTATTTGTTTGGAAAAAATTTCAAGTTGGCAGCAACTTTTTGTTGTAAAAATTACTCATACTGGGTTCTAATTATGTTGTTAGGTTGGATGTAGAGATATCTGGATATCTTTGAATGCATTGCTTTGCAAAGATGCTGCTTGTACTTTCACAAGACTATTTTAGCTTTCCTTTTTTCTTTTCTTTGTTAATTTACACTTTTTAAAAGGGTTTCTTCTTCTCACTTCACACAGACTACTCTTCCTGTTGAGGAGATCACAAAGTGCTTGGCAAAGAAAGGTTATGAAGTGATGACATCTGACGATGCTGGCCGATTTGTGTGCAACTATGTTTACTACCACTCCCTTCGGTTTGCAGAGCAAAGTGGGACAAAGTCTCTCTTTGTGCACGTACCACTTTTCTTGACTATAGATGAGGAGACACAAATGCAATTCGCTGCTTCCTTGTTGGAGGTAATTGCCGCTTTGTATTGAAATCTATCGGCATCCATCTTGCTCTTTATCGCACAAGCACTTAAGCTTGTCCTGTTATTGACGACAATTGTTAAGATGGATGCATGTATTGAAATGCTCAAAATAAACAGATGAGTGTATGGTGAATGAAAAAGATGTATTTATGGTAGCACAAAGACTTCTCATGTACTTTCTTCGACCTTTTTCCAAAAAGGTTTTGGCTACTGATTGAAAGTTTCTTGAATCTCAGTTTACTGTGTGAATGAATAAGATTCCAATTTTCTATTATATTTTTAGCAATGTACATATTGCTTTCTTCTGCCTCCACTAACTCGTGCGTTAATACTGCGATTTGCTCCTGAAAAGGTTTTTTTGTGGATAGTTCGTGGTTGAATCTTACTCTTTTTCTTTTTCCAAATTGGAATATGAAAGAAAATAAGATCATTTTTAGCCTCCTTCGTAAATCGATGCTGTATCTCTCTCTAGTCCTCAAGCATGACAATTCAAAAAGAAAAAAGTGCTTTCTGTATTAAATCAATGAATGATTTAAACTTCTACCCTGATTCAAGATTTGTTCCCATCTCATATAAAATGGGTAAATTTCATGTCAAAGACCCTCAAAAGGTACAAACATGGAATTCAAATTGCCATTGTAATTTCTTTGTAATCCAGTCTGAACTTCTGATCTTCATTCTCGGCTTCTGGTTTCTGGTGACCAAATGGGCCATCAGTTTTTGAGGACTCGTGCATTTGGAGGCCTGATGCCTTTCCTTCGAATAATTTAAACCTTCTAATTTGACACCTGATTTTCTCAAATTTTAGACATTTAATGGATTGTTGGGCTTGACATTTGAACCAGAAATTCAGAATGCTGAATGCATTACCTCAATCTTTCGGTTTCAACGCCAAAGTCATGGCTTTGTGGTAACAAGCCTATCTTGGGACTTAAATCAACATGAGCAAGGCAACATATCACTGCAAGATATTCACTTAAAATCAGTCACCAATAGTCCCCACAGGAGCAAACTCCATCATGAAAATGGTGAAAACGATGAGTATCTCTAATGATGATCTTCCTTTCCGCAATCTTGGATATAAGCTTGGCAGCAACATGGCAATCCCCACAAACGCGAATATTTTTTGTAATTCTGATTGTAGTTCCAGGATTTGTATTCAGAATGGCAAACACAATAGCCAGCTTCTCACTATGAAATGCTAGATGGCATTCTTTGTCCTCCTCTTCCACATCGTGAAGAGCAGCATCGGTTTCAGGCATGTAACCCAATTCTTTCATTCTTCCAATTAATACATCTAACTCTTTGTAGATCTCATTTGACTGGGGATGAGAGCTGTCACCAGCAAGAAAGGTGTGAACGTGATCATCGATCTCAACATTGCTAATGCCGGGAATTTTTTTGACCCCCTTGCTGTTCATGATTGACCTAACAGTTTCAACATCTTGCCATCTTCCAGCCTTTGCATATAAGTTAGATAGCAACACATAATACCCTGACTGTTCAGGAGCTAACTGGAAAAGGAAATCGGCAGCCAAAAGTGCAATATCCATGTTAGAGTAAACCCGACAAGCACTTAACAGAGACCCCCAAACCCTTTCATTAGGCTCCATTGGCATCTGTCTGATCAAGTGATGGGCCTCGTCTATTTTCCCAGAACGTCCCAATAGATCTACCATGCAATTAAAGTGTTCTATCCCTGGACTTATCCCATATTCAGCCATTAGATTAAAGCAATACCAACCCTCGTCAACTAACCCAGCATGACTGCAGGCTGCTAAAACAGAAACAAAAGCAATCCAATCTGGAATTAAACCTGAGTTCCTCATCTTTTTAAAGAGTGCCACAGCATCCTGACCTTGACCAGTCATACCATAAGCAGAGATCATAGAAGTCCATGATGCAAGATCCCGAAACATCATTTGATCAAATACAGCCCTTGCTTCCTTCAAGCATCCACATTTTGCGTACATATCAATCAATGCATTCTCCAACAATAAATTTGGCCGAAGCTTCTTCCTTTCAACATATTCATGAATTCGGCTTCCCAACACCACGGCTGAAAGGTCCCCACAAGCAGGAAGCACACTAGAAATAGAGACAGCATCAGGTTCAACCCCATGCCCTTCCATCTGCAAATACAAGTCCACTGCTTCATTAGGCATTGCATTATTCACATACACTGCTATCATCACATTCCAAGAAATCAAACTCTTTTCTTTCAGGTTCATAAACATCTCCATAACATACAAAACATTATCACAAGATGTGTTCGTCACAGCAGGCAAGAGACTTCCCATTGTACCGGCATCAGGGTTTAGCTTCAAACCCTCCATTTCTCTACAAAGCTTCAATGCATCATTAAACCTCCCATTTTGTGCATACCCAGCAACCATTGAATTCCAAGAAACCATATCTCTCCTTGGCATCTCATCAAGAACTTGCCTTGCCGCCTCCAAACACTTACATTTCCCATACATAGAAACTAACCCATTCCCAATATAAAGATTCATATCAAGCCCAAGTTTCACAACAGCACCATGAATTTGCAAGCCAACCCACAAATTCCCAGACACCGAACAAGCCTTTAACACACAAGGATAAGTATAATTATCAGGATAAAACCCTTGATCAGCCATGGTTTTGAAAACCAGTAAAGCATCTTGATACAAACCGTTGTTAACATAGCTTCTGATCATGACATTAAAGAACACAACATTCTTGTCAGTAATTTCATCAAATATGTAGCGTGTGTGACATGGTTCCCCACAAGCAGCATAAGCCCTCATTAACTTGATGCCAAGTGAAGGATCTGAGTGAAAGTTTTGGTCAACTAAAATCTTGGAATGGAGTTTTTTAAGTGTTTTGGCATCTGGGTTCCGGTCCAAAATTTTATTACACAAGTCCTCAGTTAGCGCTGTGGATTTTGAGGAAAGTTGAGGATTTTGGGTTGTCAAAGAAATGGGTTTTGGCTGCTTAGCAGTTGAAAATTGGCGGGAAAAAGAAGAAATTGTTTTCATGGATTAATCTTTGGGCATGATTTTGGTTTAGCAGTTCTATTAGACGAAGCTTTAGTCTATAAAAGATGACAGAGAGACCTAACAATCCAATCTAATAGAGACTTGGGCTCATTTTCTACGAGTCGTCTCAAGTAAATTATAAATTAATCCCTCTAGTTTTGAGAAATAAATAAATTAATACCTCTAGTTTTAAAAACTAATAATTTAATCATTATATTTGTAATTTTTTCTGTAACTTTATTCTTTTCATTCTTTTTCAATTTAGTCCCTTTTGTTTTCAAAACTAATAATTTAATTTTTATATTTGCAAATTTTCTTATGACTTTATTCTTTTCACTTTATCCATTTATCTTGATTTTTTTTTTTAAGTTAAGAAAGAGAAAAAGCAAAACCATGATTGGTTAATTATATACTGAAGCTCATAGTTTTAAATAACGACTTGTTATTTAATAAATTTAGATATATTCGTCTTTGTTATATGATTTTATAGAAAGTTCAAAGGTGTTTCATTCAGAAAATGACAATAACATTATCATATAACAGTAATAACCATAATTATTATTTGATGAATAAATGTTGCCATGTTATTGTTCGGGAAAAAAAATGGAAAAAACTTTCCATTTTTTGAAGAAAAACTACCGACTCACGTGAAATGTCACTTCTTTTTTTTTTTTTTTTTAATTCGGGGTGTCCGGGCTAGCTTGTGCGCACCTCGACTAATTCCCGGACCTACCGAACACTCTACAAGCCCAATGGGCATGTAAGGCATCGCGGGGGTGATAGGCGTGCGCGAGAGAATTGAACCCGAGTGTCATCGGTTATCGACCCTCAACCTCACCACCGAGCTGCGAACTCAAAGCGCGACGTTCTTGTATCTTAATAATATTAAAGTTTTCATAACTCACATTAATCTTTCAAAATGTTTCTTAACAGTGGCACATAGCAATATAATTAACCTGAAAACCTAGCTATTTTCAAACCTAATATGGTAGTCGAAACTGATCCATGGTGATTAATTATTTCACAGAAAACTTTTGCCACGACTAATGATACTACAGCTATCCACTATAAAATATATCCTTCGTTGCAGAAACAGGAAAAGGTTGGTTATAAAATCATTAGTCAAGACAAAAAGCTTTCTATGGCAAATAAATTGGTCAGTTAGCTTGGCATGCATGGAGCAAGATATGCCTTAACTGGTGATGGATTTTTTAGGAAGAGGATAGCAGCTCGAATGTTTAGAAACGCAGCATTTGCCAGAGATGATGTAGAAGACAAAAGAAATGTATCAAAAGAGACGGAGAGGATACGATTGATTGATTGATTAAGTTATTTTTCATTGGGACAAAATTTGTCAGAGATGATTTTTTAATTGATTTTTTTTTAAATTACTAATTAAGTATTTTATTTAATTTTTTTTAATTGTTTCGTTATCTGATGACATATTTTTTGTTCTAAATTATTAAATTATATTTTATTTTTGAAGGGAATTTATTTTTTTCAGACTACTAACTATTAATAATAACTCATTGATTGGCTAACCACCGATTATGAGCTACAAGATTCTATCTATGAAAAAAAAAGAATTAATTTAATCAATTTAGACACTAAAAAGGATGAGTTAATACCAATTTAAAAAATAGATAAAATCATAATTTAAGTACTAAATAGAACTTTTTTAAAAAAGTAATCATTGTCGTACTTATGAGGATCTGCTCACCAAATGAGTCCTTATCAAGCTTCAGGATTTTGGGTTTTTAAAACAATTATTTTTTTAAAGTAAATTAGAAGTTAAATCTGCTAGTTTTGAAAAACAAATTAACTAGTCCTTCTTGTTTAAAAAATTAATTTGTTAGTCTTTATATTTTTAAATTTTCTTGTAATTTAATAATTTTCATTCCTTTTCAATTTATTGTGATTTTGTTGTAAGGAATAAAAAAAGAAAAAAATATGGAAGAATTAATTAAAAAATAAGACTTTTTTAAAATAAAATAATATTAAATATAGTATGGTCATTACCAGTTAAGATACTAAATAACTAGTTTTTAAAACAAAGAAGATTAATTAATTCATTCCTAAAAAATAGAGGGGCTAATTTATAATTTACTCTTTTTTTTTTAACCTCCAAAGCTTTAAATTGGTGGGAAAAAAAATTAAATGAAAAGATAGTTTTTATAGCTACTCTTTGGGCATGGGAGGTAACTACTCATCCACTAGAGAATTGGGCTCCCCTTTCATTTTCAGAAACTTCTCTCAACTTTCATCCATCACATTTTGCCCTTATTTTATTTTTGGCACTTCTCCAAGAGGGGCATAGGTGTCTCCAATCTGAGACCTGTAGGTGGGGGATTTATGTTCTGAGCAGTAATGGTTTAAGTTTGGCTTACATGGTCCCAAGTTTCTTAAAGAAAAATATACTTTCTTAGTGCCCACACAAACCCATTCTTTTGCTTGGTATACGCCTTTTTAATTTGTTTTTGTTTTTGTTTTTTGAGTTGTTAGAACTCGAATCTTATTTTATTAGAAAGGTTAACTTAATACAAAACCACTGAATTAACGTTAACCTGCTTATGGTATGTGTTCTTTTTTTCAATCTAGCTAATTAACTATGATCATCTTTGCCACTGGCTACCGCAGCCAATATGCTAAGTTGCTCTAAATAATTGTTGGGAAATGTCATTCAAGGAACTGAAATGTAGACTTATAAGAACTACTTGATTCGGACCGTGTAAGTGTAAGTTCTTTTAGTTTTTGGAATTCGTTAGAATACCATGAACTTGCAACAAATTCAAGAGTTAATTGTTCTTGGAATTATATTTTATATTGTAAATTTGTAATGAAGTTAGTTTGGATCCAATCATCGGTATAATTGGGTTGAAATGAATTAGAAGAGTTGACATGAATTGAATTGATAGTTATTGTACTTTTTTTATCTTACTTTTCAAAAGGTAGAATTCATCAACTTGTGGATTTTATTTATTTTTATTTTTTTGTCACTATTTCCTGAAGTCTAAATTTCATAGTTGGAAACAAAAAGCAAATCCCTGAATCTGATCTTTCATTCCATTATAAGGTTTGAAACATGGAATAGGGTGCGATTTTCTTGAACTAAAACCTCTGATTCCATGTTATGCAATGATAGCCGTTTCTTCTGACATGTAACTAAATCTAGCTACTTTACATAAAGATCTAATACAAATTATTCTGGCACTGATCAATACTGTTCTGCCCAAAGTATTGTGGGATTCCATCCAACAAGCAAGAAACTGGTGGAATGGTAAGATTCTGCATTGCCCCATAAGCATTCCAGCAAAATGGATTTGCCACAAATTGGCCTTGAGCAGGAAGCAACTCTATTTCTGATAACCTGAGGTTAGTGCATGGGACTGAATCACTGCAAGCCAGACGCAAAGGTGGACTCCTAACATCATATGTACCTTTGATTTTCGTGTACAGAATATCAGAAATGTAAACTGCACTGGTTTGGTTAGTGCAGTTCTTTGTTAGGCAGTAATATTGGTCTATGATTATTGGATTGCGGACTGTTTCCATGTGAATGTTGTGAAACGAGATCTTAGAAACAGAACCATATCCTCCCTGCCATGTCTTGATCCGGACACCATTATCAGAATGCTTAATAATCGAATCTGTCACCGTGATGTTCGACACACAAGCTTGTGAGTTGCGGATTCCAAGACTACCAATGCTGCAGCAACAAAATCAGAAATCGGTTGTTGGCCAAAGTTTTTGAGCATCTCTCAAAACAATGCTCATAAATGACTGGCAATTTAGTAAATTCGATTCCCTCATCGCTAACCGGCCGATTTCTTCCTTTTAGTTTCGTCAAATTTGTTTCTGGGTTTAATGGATTAGATTAGGGGGTAAAGCTAATAGTTTGAAATTTGAGCATAAGCATCCCATCAATTGGAGGCGCCTAACTTTTGCAGTATTTCAGGAAGAGCTTAACTAAATGTACCTTATACCATGGCTTGGACCACAGGTAATGTTCTTTATATCAACATTATGACAGCCAGCTCCAATTGATACACAGTCATCACCTAGAGTACAAACCAGAGGGAAAATGGCATGAACTTAGAGATTGATTCATGGAAATGATGAAGAAAAGTTCTGAAGTGCAAGGAAAATGGAAGTGATTTTACCATTGGATACAACTGAATTATGTATCTGGACATTGTTTGTGTTCTCTATGTGAATCCCATCTGTGTTGGGGCTTTGAGATGGCGATTTAATGCTAAGCATTTGCACAAGAACATTCTGACAGCTATCGAACCGAAAATGGAATTGGGGACTGTTCTTCACTTTTAGTCCTCGGACTGTCAAATTGGAGCTCAGGAAAAACCTTATAGCCTGAATTATTCAATCAAAACAAAAGGTTATAAAACTTTCATGAAACCCTTGATGAAGAAGAACGTATAGTTTTTGTACTTACAACTGGGCTATCACAAGGGCCAGGAAGTGTTGTGCCATTAGTCCCCTAAGTTTAGCAAGCATAGCAAGTTAGCTAGAGAAATTACAAAAACATCAACAAGAAATTAATGGATTAAAATAGCTTACCTTGTGAGGTTTGCAGGGTAGATTCCACCATTTCTCTCCTCTGCCATTTATAACACCACCTCCTTGCATTGACAGTCCATCGATCTTGTAAAACACCAGCCATTGTCTCTTGCTCATCTTGCTTGGCCACGATTCAGGCCCGTCAGGTGGCATTATAGTTCCATCAATCTTCTCATTACAAGCAGAATAACCAATCAGTCTATTCTTCTACTTAAGCAAGTTCATTAATGGAATTCAATAACAAAAAGTTTTACCTGGAAAACAAGGCTAGTTTTACAAGGTCCTGTAAAGATAGTAGGCTGTATCATGAAAGAATATTCATCAGGAGCAAGCAGAATGGCTGGTTCATTCTGAAGGCAAGCAGTGTCCCAAGCCATCTTGAATGCTTGTGTATCATCTGTGGCACCATCGCCAACTGCACCAAAAGATAGTACATTGTAAACTCTTGCAACCCTTTGAACCTGGGTAGGGCTAGGGCTAGGGCTAGGACTTGGAGAATTTGTATAATAACTTGGACTAACAGCAGCCTGAGGAGCAGGGGCAGGAGCAGAAGCTGGTGGTAGTGAAATGTGAGAAACAATGTGCAAGTGATTTAGTTTAGTTTTGCCATGAACTCTTCCTTCAATGTAAGTAAAGAAGAAAGCAAAAGCCAAAAGGAGAAGTTTAGACAACGCCATGGCCACCATACTTGGTGATCGAGGGGAATGAATGTAAGTGATAAAAAAAATAATGGGCTACTTATAGAACGAACAGAAAGTTTTCAACTTTAGTAGCATAATAGAATAGGCTTTTGTTTTGCTAACTAGGTGTAGCCAAGTTCAAGCTCACGCTTAGGACATTGAATTCAAAGAAGACAAGTTGAGTTCTGAAAGATTATGGAACTTTTTTCACGAGTAGAGAAAGAGATTAGGAGGAGATAAGGAGAAGCAAGGCACCCACGTTTGAGGGAGTTGAAAACAGTTAAGGACGTGTCTTGTCTCTTGTGTGTGACCACTTGAAGCACTATTACAACTTGGTAGAGGACTTAAACTTGGTGATGAACTGAGGATTATGCACATAGGACTTACAACGATTTCATTTGAGGTTGCTTTTATACTAGGAATTATTAGTGGAAGCTCCTTTTGGGAGGGGTCTTATGTATAATATAATGAAGGCATGAGACCGACCAATTCCTTTTCAAGATGAGCTTCTTTTTTGTTTTTTTTCAATTTTATTTTGGATTCGATGATTAAGGTTTTTTCGGGTTAAGTAAATGATTTTAAGAGCAAGCATTAAGTCGATTGATTGTATTTACAAAATAATTTTTTTAGGTATTGGTTTTAAGATGCAAACTTTAAAAATTAAGAAAGATAGTAAATCTCATTAGTCATTGAGCCTATCTTTAAAATTAAAGAATATCGATCGGTAAGGTGATTTTTTTTTTTTTTTTTTTTTGTGTGACATGGGAAAGATTGATTTTGCAATATGAATTTATGAAAAACATAATGAAATTGACATATACTATTAATTTAAAACTCTTCCCATTTACTTAAAACCATTAGAAATGGCAATTGACATGCTAAGAATGTTTTGAATTTCATTCAAGATAATTGGCTTCAATAGATAAAGCTCTTTTTATTTAAGTAAGTAATTTTAAGTTTTAGTTTTTGTGTATATTAAAAACTTTTTAGATAACTGTCCTTATCTTTTACGTCCGACAAAACAATGAATAATTAATCGATATTTTTAAATTTAAGATACATTGAAGGATAAAAAAAATGTTTTAAATTTCGTCAACCTTGGCATGGGTCGACAACCCACTAGGGAATTGTATTTTATGTATGGGTCAACAAAAAGCAATGCATATTTTTTTTATTCTTGGCATAAACTCAGCTTGCTCACCAATGGCCTTTGGCATTTGCCTATTCAGTGTCCACTAAAGGTTTTCTTTTTGTCTTAAGCAGGGTAAGATGCTTCTGACATTTCAAATAAACAATTGAGACTTGGCATTTTGAAGTTGGAAGTGGGAGGGGAATAGTTTTGAACCAAAAAATGGATGATGATCATTTGGCCCAAAAGCCTTGGGCGGCTGAACATGATCATATTTATTGCTGGGGTGGCATGAAATGGTAGTATTTTACCTAATTCCATTACAAACATGCACCCATTAGTCCAGATTCTAGATACTTCTCAAAAGACAGCAGCTTCTAGCAGTTCAGTTTTGGTAGTTAGATTTGTCCAGGCTTAATAGCGATGGACCAAAGTGGTTGTGTTTGGTCCCTTTCGGCACTCAGGGATTTTGAGCTATTTGAGTGCCTGAAAGAGTCAGGGCCTTAGCCAACCATGGTTTAGTGTCCATTTGATAAAAAGGGTTTTGGGCCTTGCTTCTTTTTATATGGAATGGCAATGCCACGCCCCGCCCCCACCCCTCCCCTGACAAGCTGTGCCTGTCCCCACTCTACGCTTTGGGTAGGAAAATATTTTTCGTATCATCCTCCCAATAGTAATAGGATCCTCGCGAGAGGTATCGGTGTCCACTTAATTATTTGTGTGCATTACTCTTTCATTTATCCCATATCATTTTGTATCAAATTTTAAATTATAACAAAAAAATAATAATTAATATAAAAAATATAATTATCTAATATCATATTTAAATTTTTTAGAATAGATAAATATCATATTTGTTTAAAGTCAATGTAAGACAGGATACTTCGCCTTACCCCTCCTCATTTTTCGATTAATTCAAAAAATCCCTACGTTGATCCGAACGAAACCCATCAAAACAGGACAACTTGCCGTCCCTCCTTTTTGTATAGTTTTTGGGGTGTTTTTTTTTTTTTTTTTAACCAATGAAAAAAGTTATTTAAAAAATCATTCCAAAGGCGGAAGTCAAAAATTACAAAATGAAAATTTTGAGTCTTGTATAGCATGAAAGCATTTTAACAACAGACGTTACCAAACATTTTTTTTTACAACAATAACATCGACAAATATAACAAAAATTATAGACAAAATCCATAGTTTTCTTGAATAGATCATTAGATGAGTGATTTTGTAAAAATACATTGGAATCGAAAAGACATTAATTCTATATTGTTTTGAGTGATTTTAAATGATTTTAATATAAAACAGTCTGAAAAAAAAAAACATTTTCAAACTCGGCACAGATACATTGTTGTTGATTTGAATATATCAAGTTGGTGTTCCTAGGATCGGTATGGGCTGAGACAGAGTCATAGCCGATCATCCACTCTTAAGGTTTCCATTAACTTTTTTGTTTCTACTTTGACTATTTCCCATTTGCATTACAAATTCTCTAGCTGGGGGCTTAAATTTTGTTGCAGAAGACTTGTTCTTACAGAACCCTACTTTGCCACCTAGTTAAACCATCAACAGAGCTGACATATCAAGATGAAACTAGAATCATAGTCAAGTACTGTTAATCTCACTACTTGTCCTGTCTACGTCGTGGAAATCACAGGAAGAAGAAGAAGAAGCAAAAACAGGGATCACACCAGATTGATCTCAGTCAATATTGATGTTTCTACTAGGGTTGATTAAGAAAATGTGTAAGGAAAAAAAAAAAAATTCATTCAGGGTTTGTAGGTGGCAACTAACCAGCTTGTATTATAGTTCAATGGTCATTATCATTAATAGTTCAATGGTCATCATCATTACTGAACAAAGTGATAGAACTGTGAGATATACGAGAATCAAATAAATTGGCTAATTGCTTGTGAATTTTTGGCCAATGGGGAAAAAGTTCCAAATCGTTTTTCATTTGATTGGAATGTCAATTTTTATTTTTTACTTGTAATTAACTTATTCCATTCCGTTATTCAGTTTCAAATAATATTAGGCAAACATGAGTTTACCATTCAATGTTGTAACAGTCTGTCGTCCTCATCTACTTGTCGTCACTCTACCTTCAGCTTCCACATGGCGTTTCGCCAGCCGCCTCCCACAATATATAGAACAGGTTATATGCTGAGTTTACTATTCACAGACATCTGATTCCCACTTCCATCAGCAGAATATTAAAATGCTTGTAGTAATACTAAACCATGCATGAATCTTCACTTATAATTGATCATCTCCTCTCCTTAACTCTTTACTTCTATAGACTCAAACAGCCATTTCTTTTGAGGGTTCCAAAATGGCTAATCAGTTCAAATCTCATCCAAGTTTCATGTGGTGGGCTCGGGATCATACCGAATTTGGTGAACCTCCCTCAAGAACACCGTCTTCGGTTGGTAGGGAATGCATTCCTCCAACAACAAGACAGTCTTCAGTTGGTAGTACTGAACATATGCCTACGACAAGAAGACCGTCTTCAGTTTGCAGTGAACATGTTTCTCTGTCAACAAGACAGTCTTCAGTTGGCAGTGAATGTATTTCTCCAACGAGAAGACAGCCTTCAGTTTGTAGGGAACATATTCCTCCGCCAACTAGGCAGTCTTCAGTTGGCTGTGAACATGTTTCTGTGGTAAGCGACAGTGTGATAACATTGCCATCTCAAGGAGCCATGACACCAGCTACAACAGGAGTTAATACACCCATATTCTCAGGTGGATCGTCTCAAGAATTTCAATATAAGATTGAGAAGGCATCACCGGAGACGGCTAGGCATGTCGCGCTGAGAATGTATGAGAGTATGAAGAGGTATGGGTTGAGAGAAGACGCAGGCAAGATTATTGGTAAGGAGGCAAATGAGATAGAGGAAATAAAAGAGGAGGGAGTTGATAGGGTTGGGAGGAAAAGCGAAGAGCTTATGGGAATGGATTATTTGTTGAGAGATGGCTTTGTTAGTTATCTACGTGACATGGCGAAAATTACACCGCCTATTCCCCAACAGGTAAGCTGGTTATCTCTATCCTTTAATTAGTTTCTGCCATGGCTCCAGAATTATCATCAAGGTATTAGATGAGACTAGGAACCCTAGCTAGCTCTTGAGTTTAACCATGTCTCACTGAGATTTCTAATGAAAGAACAAGTAGCAACATTTTCATTTTCCTTGAAAGAATCAAAAGGAAACTTTAGTACACCAAATAGAGTCCATTTCGCATTGCAGTCTGACAAATCGGAAAGACTGCAGAGCGGTTTCAACATTCAATGGTTGCAAGCCTGAGCAAATGAATTGCCACATTAAGATCATGTTGCCATCCATGGCCAAACAGGCACTTAGACTTTATGCGAATGTCCTTGAATGCAATAGTTATGTTTCTTGTTATTGCTAGGCCTAGGAGAGGACAAGAATGTGAAACAGTAGATTAGAATCTTCAGTTTGGTTGGCCAGGAGCTTCTAGTTTTGTCTCTTTTAGTTCATGATGATCTCACATTTTTTTCTAACATGCTTCAGAATTTGACTATGTTTACGGTTGAATTTTGTAAATTAATTAATCAAAAAATTGATGACTTAAATTTGATTCTAGCTACCCTATAATTATTTAAATATCTTTTATTCAAAAGACGAACAAAAAATTTTATGTTTACGAGGCCTGCACAATCTGACACTTGACACACTCCTGGTCAATAAGCATGTAGTTTAACAGAAACTGGGATGTGCTGCAGGTAGTTCGGTTTTCGAATATAAAGTTTACGAGGAAGTTTCATGTTTCCGACGGCACATATGAAACATTTGGAAATAAGGTGGTGAAATGCTTTGTTGGTCCTCTAAAGACTCTTCTGCAAGAAAAGGATTCAACATGGTTGCAGGTTCTGAAGGGTGTGGATGGGTACATCATGCCTGGCTCGATGACCCTCTTACTTGGTCCACCTGGTAAGTCTGAAAAATCTGATGAATTTACAAGCTAGTAACTTCACTGTGGAAGTAGACAACATTTATGCTTTCTCATCAAACAAGTTAAGAAACTACAGTTAACAAATCTAAAATGACCAACTGACTGTCGTATGTGTGTTTTCACAAACCCAAAGGGTGTCAACTAGGTCATTTGCAGCCACCAATATTCAACTTAAATTCCAGATCGAAAGAGTGTTAAACTAATTAACATAGTTTTTAACATAGTTTATGATGCTTACACCGACCGGTGTTCCTTTGACGATGAAATCTTACAGGAAGTGGAAAGAGCACTCTTCTTGAAGTTCTAGCAGGGAGAGTAAAAGAGACTAAGAACTCGATCTTGGAAGGAGAAGTCATGTACAATGATAAATATGCCTCTGAGATTTCTCTGAGCAGACTCATCGCATACATAAATGGTCAGCTTAACAAGTAAGTGTCCTGAGACGAAACAACAAAATTACACAAACATGCGATAATGATATGTTCAGAGAATCATCCACTTTCTTAATTTCCTGACAACTGCTTGGTGTACATCTATAGACAATTTTATGTTAGCATTTCACTTCAATTACTCGTACGATTGCAGACACATTCCTTTTCTTTCAGTTCGGGAGACACTCGAGTTTGCAAGGGACTGTACTCAGGGTCTTCAGCCAGAGAACTTTACTCCTCAGATGAGAAAATTCTTTGCACATGCACTTGTAGAAGGGCAGGATCCTTTCCTAGAGTATGTGCTAGAAATTTTAAGCTTGAAGGAAATACAACACAAACTAGCTGGAGACGAAATTTCCGACACTGACCGCCAAAAGCTCACAACAGCCGAGTTGGCTCTTGGAACATATTCTGTCATGCTTTACGATCAACCATTTTCAGGATCTGATTTAGCTGCTACATATGATCTTGTGGACACCTTAAGAACCATTAGCAGGATTCAGCAATCTTCTGCAATCATGTCAATCACCCAACTTTCACAGGAGGTGTTTGATCTTTTTGATAGGATCATATTACTTGGTGATGGGCATGTCCTGTTCCAAGGTCCTCGTCAAGATGCTATCCCTTACTTTTCCAACCTTGGGTTAGTATGCAGAGTATAACTTAGTTGAAGCTGAATTAAAATTGTGTATTTTATGCATAAAAGAACTAACATCTTTCATTTTATAGGTACACTAAGCCCTCCCATGTCGAGTCCAATGAATTCCTCGAAGATATTGCAGCTGGAAATGGTTCCCAGTATCTGGCACAAGGAGCAAGACCTTATACGCTAGATGAACTTGTGGCATGCTATAAGATTTCAGATCACTACAACGATATAATAAGAATTGTTCATAAAGATGATGGGAAGCATACCTATTGGGTAGAAAGTGAGCCTGGACTAGGATTGTCCCTTAAAACACCATCCAAGTACCACTACTCAGCCGATGCCGGTCCAAGACGAGAAACAGGTAAACAAGCCAGTCCAGAATAAATCAGGAAACTGTTGGTATAAGCTCTGTATAAGCCAATTTGACAACCATTAGAACACACCATGCTTACTAATTGAGTGGCTGCAGAATTAATAGTTGCGAAGCTCTCCAGAAAGGTAGGACACTCAGGGGGGATAGAGAGTACAGGAAGAGTACAGACTGGAGATGTAGTCACAGCAATATCTATGAACAAAGAAGAAATGCAATACCTTTCTGTTGGCCCGCGAAAAACCCAACACGAACGTGCCTCACATGTATACTCTAGGTTGAAGCAGGCAAGAGGTCGCATTCGTCTCCAGGTGGAGCGTTACAAAGACAAGGTAAGTAGAAACCACTCAACAACAAAGAGGAGAAATGCGAGGAAAATATGATTATTACGGAATACGTAAGTTGAGAAATCGATCACAACATTGCCTGATATGATATACGAGGATGATCTGTTCTGTAGGAAGAGGAGTACCAAGCGCAATGGGAGCAGTTTCAAAGGCCTTTCGTTCAAACATGGTGGAAATCCACCAAAACTCTCATCAACAGGCAAATCAAGATCACCAAAAGGCTTCATGCTTTAATCAAATTAAGGCTCTTGCAGGTTAATACTACCATATGCTCCATAGTCTTGCTGCTCGTGTACATTAAAGGAATAATCTGACCATGTCAATTTTCACTACATAAAATGATTTAGAGTCATATAAAATCAATCATTCTTCATGATATGTGCTGTACCTTACTTGGAAACTAATCCATCCTTGAACTTTACAGGCAGTTCTGTTAGGCTTTTTTGCGGGAACACTATTCTACAAACTTGGGGGTCAATACAACCAACAGAAAATGAACTCAATAAGGGCTCTAGGATTTGTATCTACCATGAGCATAATGCTCATAAACCTGGTGCAGCTTCCTTTGTACATGCTTCAAAGGCCAATCTTTTACAAGCACAAAACACTGAGGTTCTTCAGAGTTTCATCATACATAGTTGCCAATTGCATAGTCAATCTCCCACAGACCCTCCTAGAAGTACTCTTCCTTCGATTCTCTCCCTCCGTCTAACCAATCATAGTTCTCATATAACCTAAATATCCTCATCCTTGCAGGCACTGACATACACTCTCTGTGCTTATTTTCTTGCCGGGCTATCAATGGCAGGAAATGGATCACCATTCTTCGCATATGTGGCCCTCCTGTGCTTAGTAGCATACTTTGGTTCATCAGTCTTCTTCTTTCTAAGTACCATCTCTTCAATTCCAGAGGCTGGGAATGCTTTGGCAGGTACTTCATTTATCTTCACAAAACGTGTTCATTACATATTTATTTATTTCTCCATTATCTATAATCTATCTATACCCGAACAGCATATTTTTGGCAAAGCCAGCTTTTTTCTCATTTTCCTCGCATCAGGCTTCTAAAGATTTCAGACGAAGGTCCTCATGCAGTTGCATTTACTTCCTGCAGGTCTACTAGTCTCAATCTCCCTACTCTTCAGTGGGTTTGTGATCTACCCATCCAACATCCCAACTTACTGGAAATGGCTCATGTATGTGAACCCAATTCACTGGGCTAACGTCTCCTTCTGCAGGTTCCAATTCAGTGGGGGTTACCCAGATCCTTGCTCCAACCACCGTGGCCAACTCGCATTTTGTGACCAGTTCCCAACAATGACAGTTGGGAAAGGATACCTGGCCTTTTACGAGCTTTCTGAGGATTCTAAGAGACCTTGGCTACCTTATGTCATTCTACTAGGATGGACTGCCATTGCTATTATCTTGACACTATTGGGGCTAAAGAATATAGAATTTGTGGAGACGAGCCAGTCATTGCCCTATATCAGAAAGTCCGCAACAGCTAGCAATTATAAAGAAGATGCAGATAGTGAATCTGAATCTTACAACAGTTTCAGTGAGAATTCTGACAATTATGGTGCATCCAAGTCTCCTTCGCTACAAAATTCAGGGACAAGCTACAGAAAAATGAAGGAAAATGGCACAGTTGATGGATGGATAGAGGAATTTCGTGTGGATCTAGAGAGGAACGGGCTAGGCATTCCTGTGGAGCCGGTGACTCTCCTATTTGAGGATCTATCATTCACAAGGTGAGGTTTATGCCTTTATCATCTATGCTGAAACCAAAACTCCTCATCTTACCTCCTCTCAAAACACTCAAGGGGTAGAAAACAAACAAGATGGTTCCTGAATACCATTTATATATACAAATATTAACATTATGTTATTCATGCATCAGGTACAATGGGGGAAATAAAGAAAGGAGTTCAGTTTTCAGCAATATCACAGGCTATGCTAAACCCCAGAACATGCTAGCCTTACTAGGTGGTACAAGAACAAACAAGGCGACACTACTCAAATGCCTGGCTGGTAGGGTCCCATGCATTGGCAATCTACAGGCAAATGGCTTCCGACCAGGAGCTGCCTTTTGTCGGTTAATTGGGTATGTTGAGAAGCTTGATGCCCATCAACCTTACCTCTCTATACGTGAATCTCTTCAATTCAGTGCTGCACTTCGTCTAGGAAAAGAAGTTAGCTCCATGATGCGAAACATCCATGTTGAGCTGGTTCTCAGCCAGCTTGGTTTACTTCCGTACTCCAACAAACTTGTAGGTTCCCTCCACGATTCCACTGGAAAGACATTTGAAATAGCCAAAAAGATAACAATTGCAGTTGAGCTGGCTGCAAACCCAAGCATTCTCCTTCTAGAAGAGCCAATATTCGGCCTTGACATCACTGGAACTTCGACTATCCTCAATGTTCTATCTAAAGTGTCTCATTCTGGTCGAGTAATTATCGCCAGTCTTACGCATGCTAATGGACGGGTACTGTCCTTTTTCGACCTGGCTCTCATCCTAACAGAAGAAGGGCATCAAGCATATTTTGGCCCAGTAGGATGTAACTGCAATGAGTTGCTGGATTATTTCACATCAATCCTGAAGGCCCCTCCTTACTCTGAAAAAGCAACTCCAGTTAGCTTTGTTATGAGAGTTCTTGGCTTAGGTATACGAAAGGGGCGAACTCCACAAATAAATTATGCAGAAGCATATCAAGTTAGTTTTTTGCAGGAGATCAACAGCAAAACAATCAGCAATTTAAAGAAATTGATCAAGGAAAGAGCACCAGAGGATCAGTTTTCTACTTACTCAGCTCCATATTCACGGCAAGCCATTCTGGTTTTGTTAAGAACTCGGAGATTCTTATGGAGGAATGTGCAATATACATATGGTAGGCTTACAGGCTGCATAATGATTGGACTCTTGATGGGATCCTTATACTATCAAATTGAATACAAGGACACATATGGTGCAACTTCACGTATGCTATACATATACATGCAAGTTTTACTCGTCGGAGTGATCTCAGCCAACAATGTTATTCCCCAGATTGGCACAGACAGGTTAGTCTATTTCCGGGAGAAAAGGGCTGGAATGTATCTTCCAGTATTTTACCCGGTATCATGGGCAGTTGGTGAGATCCCATATATTTTCATTGCTACACTTGCAGTTGTAGGGATAGGGAATGGTATGGCAGGAATTGGAACAGGATCCATGGCAGAGTTCCTACAGTATTGGCTAGCACTCTTCATTTTTACTTTGTGTGTAACATATTTTGGGATGATGATAACTTTCCTAGCACCACTGCCAACACTAGCCGCATTTGCAGTGTCAATTGTGACATCAATGTGGGTGTCAGCTTCTGGTGTAGTTGTTGCCCTATCTGACATAAGGTTCTACCGATGGATGTATTGGAGTAGTCCATTCCAATTTGCTATGAATGTAATGACCTCTATCAGTTTCTACTGCAATACAAAGGAGTGTGCAGCAAATTGCAGTTGCCCAAAGTTTCCAGACGGTTCTTATGTGTGGGATAGAATGGCATCGCTAAGAAGCTTGAATCATGAAAGGATGGATACAGACATATACATATTGTGTGCAATGTGTGTGCTGTTTGCCAGTCTAGCCTTCATCTTCTTTGTTGTGCTGAAGCACAACTCGCCTCCGCAATTATAGATCCATTGTAAGAATGAGATGGAGGCAAGTTCACTGAACAAGCAGAGACTAGACTGGAGCATCTCTATGGGAATATATGTGAAGGCATGGCAGTGAACAGCTTAAAGCAACAAATTCAGGGAGACCAGAGCTAGATTCTCTATGTATATTCATTTTTGTAAAACAAAATTCATTTAGCCTGGATGCAATAATTAGAAAAACCATAGCATCCTCATCCCCTTCCCACCCCAGTGCCTGCCTATTCTCCAATGGAATGTGATTAGAGAATGTGCATATTCTGACACCATTAATAAACTCAAATGTAACCACTGAAGCCAAAAGCATTAAATGTTGAAAATAGGCAATCAATGACTTTTAAGAAAGATCACTGAAATTATTGCAATCCACAAAAGACTTACAAAGGAGAATCAAATCATGTTCAAGTTCTGGTTATTGTAATACATAAGAAAGTAGCATTTGCACACAGCAAGGCATAGCTTAATGCAATAAAGGAACTATGCAAACAATGATGATACATGAACTAGTTAACAGGTAACAACTTACTATAACGTAATCACAAAAGGAGGGAAAAAAAAATCACTGTCTAAATCACAAAACAGACCTATCCCCAATCCACAAACGGAAGAGGCGGGTAACCACCCTCTGGAGGAGGCTGTAGTGATGCAGGCAGATTACCCCAAGACATTCCCATGCTCTCTCTCACCGCAACACCTGTAGATCAGGACAATGACAAAATTAAGCTGCAAAATCAGTAACAGAAAAAAGGAATTAAAAAGGCCTAGATATAGACAGTATAATTGTCCATTATAGGAAAACAGCAACAGTTGATACAATGTGATTCGCACCCGCATTATCATCTCTAACATATATTCAAAAGATTCAATCTTTAAATATGGTTCCATACAACACAAGAAGATAACACCTTGAATACAATAACCAAGTAGATCCAAGTACGAGGGCAAAAGATCATGAATTAACAATCCTTCAAACCTTAGTTTCCAGATTTACCTGGAAAAGAACTGGCCCCGACTGATTGATCTCCAGGCATAGTTGGTGATTGAACATTATCCTTAAAAGCTGTTCCTAAATGTCAAAACAAACACATTCTTAGACGCCAAAAAGATCCCATCTTTTTTCATGACAGATTAATTACTAAACTCTCAGCTATCTTATACTCCATAAAAGCAAAATCTTTACCTTGGCTGGTAGCAACATTAGGATGCAAATACTTGCAAGAATCTCCATAAGGACAAAAACCCTTCAAAACCACAAAGAAACACCACCATTTTAAATGAAAAAAAGAAAACACAGCAAACAATCTAACCAACCGAAGATTGATCATAACAAATGCAAAAGAATTGAACTCGTTAAATTCAGAAAAGCAAATAACAACAACAGAAATAATGATAATACCGTTTTGACAAAGCGATTGCAGAGCCCCTTGACAAAGCCACCAACATCATTATTATTGGAATTGGGGATGGTGTTATTCCTGAACCAGAGAGATTTGGCGCGTAAATGAGAAGAGCTTTGAAGATGGCGTTTTCGAGCATGTGGGGTATCTTGGAATTGCTTGTCACAATAGTCACAGTAGTATTTCCCTATGGGCATCTTTTCTTTATTTCTGTCTCTAAAGAGAAAGCAGCAGGCTCCGCTTTTGCTGTTGCTGCCTTGCTGACTGATGTTCTAACAAGTTCTTTCCCTATTCATTTGTTTGAAGGAAGAAGACAGGTTAGGCCCATAAAGTCCTGGGCTTTAGCCATTTTCTACTTACCATTTTCCCCTCATGGTATCCTGGAACCAGCTTTCGAAAAAAAAAAAAAAAAAACTCCTCCATATCATTAATTAGTCAATGCTTCAAGGATTCAACATGGCTGAAAATTTTGTTGTTCTTGTGAAATGTTTTAAGGCTAGTACTCGATGCCTATAATCTACGAAACAGGCGTGCCCAGCATGGAATCTTTCTTGAATCCCCACCATCATTAAGAATTTTGCCCTAAAAATTTCAAGATTGGAAAGTCTAAATTTTTAATTAGGGTTGTCCCCCCACAGGTTGGATGATTGTCCAAACCTGCCTTCCATCTGGTCCACTACATGAAGGCATCCTGCCAAACCCTCCCAACATCCTTTGACTTTGTAGACCTATTTTGTCACACTTCAAGGGTAGAATTGTACTTTCATGATTGCTCCCTTTGAACATGGGAACTGTTGTACTTTGTGGTTGCCCTTTTCCTACTTGCCCTTGTAAGGTGGGCACCCACCGTCCATTTTGTCAAAATCATCTTCTTTTTTAAAAATTGCAATTATATCCCTCGTTTTGTTTAAAATCCTATTTAAAAAAAAGAAAAAGTTTCATGCATGGTTTGAACTTTGAATGGTCAAGAAAAATGCTCAAATTCACTTAAAAAGGGTTTGTCAATGCAATGCTACTACTCATTTTGCTGCAATTGCATTTGTCAATGAATCATGACTCCAAAACAGTTGAGAAATATTTATTATTCCTTTCAAAAAAAAAAAAACAGAACATGTATCATTGAACATGTTTTTTTAATGTTTAAAATTGTCTTTTCAACTAGTAAATTAGTTGGTCTAATTTCGAGAAATAAATAAATTAATTTTTTTCAAAAACTAATTATTTAATTTTTATTTATTATTTATTATTTTTTGCTTAAAAAATAAATATTATAAAAATATTGATACGAAAATAAAATATTTTTTAAATAAAATAAATTAAATTAAACATAATCAATACTTATTAAAAAATAGTTAATTTTTAAAATAAAAATTAATTAATTTGTTTCTCAAAACTCAAAAAATATATATATAATTTACTCAAATTATAGTGGTGAGTACATTTCCTTTACTGGAATTTCATGATTAAAATATTTTCATTATTAAAGTTAAAAAAAAATTACATGGTTTTGATTACTAATACTTTTCTATGTTATTTGAAGAAAAGTTTAGTATTTATTTTTTCTCAAATTATATATGTATTTTGCTATTATTATTATTATTATTATTTAAATAGTAAAAGTTTAAACATCAAAATCACCTTTTTATCAATAAAAAAAAACGAACCATATACCAACTATTTATGGCCACAACTATGATTCCATTGCAATCATGAGGAAAGGAACCATATGTCATCAAGAGGTGGTAGATTACTTTTTTCCTCTTTTTTTTCCCATCTCTAAGATCTACTAAATTTTAATCTTTAAATTAGAATTAATATAAAAAATAATTTTATCATTTTATAAGTAAATTCACTTCTTTTATTATCATTTTATATTTAAAATTTATAAAACAGTCTCATAATTTTCATTTCATACGTGAATGATACGGTAACTACTGGATCAGAAACTCGAAATCTAAGCTGTAAAATATTTTTACCATTAAAATATGATAATAAAAAAAGGAAAAGAAAAAAACTTACCAAACCTCTTTGACTGATGCAAGCACATAAGCACGCCACAGAAAAATATAACAAATTTTAAAAAATAAAAAACAACTCCCAAAAAAAAAAAAACAAAAACGAAAGAGAAGGGAAAGGGAAAAAAGCACTTTTTTTTTTATTTTTGTTTCCTGTATTGTATTGGAAGGCAGGGTGATTATGTTATTGCCCACAAATATGGATCTATCATCCCTACTTTCTCTCTCCACTGTCTGATTCTCTCTTCTTCTTCCTCCTCTTCTGCAAAACGGCATCGTCTTCTTCTTTAGTTCCCAGAATTTTTTTGGCTTTATTGGTATTGTTTTGTTCTCTGTGTTGCTCTTTTTGTTCAAAGTTTGCGTCTTTTTTTGCTTAAACGTGAAAAGATGGAAACTTTTTGGGCTTTTTGAGATGAATGGTGTGTTTTGGCCTCTGGATTTTATTGGTTGTGGATCAAATTGTGATGGGTTGTGTTAGATCTTGTTGAAGCTTTGAATTTAGCATCTTTTTTTCATTTAGAGTTTTTTTTTATAGTGTGTATAAGTTTTGATTGTTTTTAAAAATTTTTGTTTTGAGAATTTTTTTGGGGTGCTTTCATTGTTAGATCTTAGATTGAAAGGTGTGAATTTTGTTTGCTTTAATGTAATGTTTTTTAGAATATTTTATGTAGATCAAAATACTTTTATAGGTTTCGTTATGCATGTCATTTCTTCAAGTAGTGATGTTTCTTTGATGTGTTAATTTATTCAAGTGGGGGTGATTTGTGATAAGTATTTGACTTTGATAGCAAAAAAAGAAAAAAAAAAAAGTGACTGTTTACAGAAAACTTGATTTATTGAAGTTTTGCGGGTTGTGTGGTGGTAATTTCATAGTTAGCTCTTGTTTATTTGTTGTTCTTCCGTGTTGGTGTTTGAGCTTCTTGATTTCGAACTTGGGGCAGGAATTTACCTATAGAGCCTGACTTGATCTGTTGCCATATACTCGATCATCAGTTGTTGAGTTTTTAAGGTGTAAAATTGGAAAATGTTTCAGTGTGAGCTTTTTGTATCTAATTCAACTTGAATTTTCTTTCGTGGGTTTTGGTTTTAGTTTCGTTACTGCACATTGTGGAGAATAAATGAATGAATAGCATGTGTGTTTTGATGCAATTTAAATCTATCAGTTGAGATTTCAAACATTTTCTGACTGCCGCAGGTATGTTCAGTTCCATTGAAGTTCAGGAGTAAGACAGAATAATATATTCTTGTCTGACAAATGGCTTCTGTGGGCGTGGCACCTACTTCGGGTTTGAGAGAAGCTAGTGCCCATAACGTTGGCGTGGATATGTTACCTGAGGAAATGAATGACATGAAAATTAGAGATGACAAAGTAGGCGATCAGCACATCTTTCTTAACTTATCATTAGTTTGGCGCCTTTTTGTTGTTGTTAGTGGATTTTGGATATCGTCCCTCAACTCAGCATGTTTTTTTTTTTTTTTAGGAAATGGAGGCAACAGTAGTGGATGGTAATGGTACAGAGACAGGTCATATTATAGTAACAACAATTGGTGGTAGAAATGGCCAGCCAAAGCAGGTATAATTTCCCGTCTTCTCTCTTCACATCTTCTAGCAAGTCAAGAGGCCCTCGCAAATCGAAGGGTAATTCTCAGGATGTACCTAATGGAACTTAAAACGATCGACCCAATTTGCTCCCGTTATTTACCTTGTTATTGTTGAAGCTTTGTCAGATATGATTGGGAGAATTCCATAATGGTTTCTTAATATGTTGTATTTACTGTTTTATTTTCCAGGTTTCATATTTTTACCATAACTTTATCATATCACCCATTCCATTCCAATACAACCTTCATTTCTAACTAAAGACAATGAATCTGCAATTTAGTTTGTCTATCAGGGGATTTTATGCTTTATATATATATCTTGGTTAATACATTTTTCTTCTATTCAAACTATGCAGACAATAAGTTACATGGCTGAGCGTGTTGTTGGGCACGGTTCATTTGGGGTTGTTTTCCAGGTATGCTGTTTTAGACTTCAGTGTTTTGCTGAATGGTTCTCGATAATGTATTGCTGCATCCTCTTCAGATCGTCACCAAGTGCTCATGTTTCCATTCTGCGTTTTTGCATTTTTGGCTTTAGGCAAAATGGTTAGAGACTGGCGAAACTGTTGCTATAAAGAAAGTTCTTCAAGATAAGAGGTATAAGAACCGTGAGCTGCAAACCATGCGTCTCCTTGACCACCAGAACGTTGTCTCTTTAAAGCATTGCTTCTTTTCAACAACTGAGAAGGATGAGCTTTATCTTAATCTGGTTCTCGAATTTGTTCCTGAAACTGTTCATCGTGTGATTAAACACTACAGCAAGTTGAATCAGAAGATGCCACTAATATATGTCAAACTTTATACATATCAGGTATGGAGTTAATTAATGGAATAAGGTTTTTACAATGGTCTCCGCGCAAGTTACGATTTAGATGACCTAGTTCTTGTGATCCGTTTTCTTCTTTTTGCTTTTCTCAACCCATTACTTTGTTAATTCTTTATCCCAAGGCAGCTACATTTTTACCGTAATGCTTGGAACAGTATCTCCCCGGACGTATTGTTTATTAGAAATATTGGTGAGATATTAACATGTTGATTCTTGGCAGATATTTAGGGCATTGTCGTACATCCATCGTGCAATTGGAGTGTGTCATCGTGATATTAAACCTCAAAACCTTTTGGTAAGATTTTGTATCATTTTTTATTCTTTAGAGATTTGTGATGCTTAATTGTTGAGGAACCCAAAGCTGTTTTATATGTCTTCCAGAGAAGGTTCTCTTGCTGCTCTGTAATTTAATACTTGGGGATAAAAAAATTAGAAATATTTGGTTGTAATTTGTCTTATGCAAATAAAGTGGTTATCTTTTTCGGTTGGAGAACACAATCTTTGTTTTGTTTATATGCTCTTTTATTCCATGTTACCCAGCATTTTTTTTTAAAAGTTATCTTCAAATTTTTTTCTTGATGCAGGTGAATCCTCATACGCATCAAGTTAAATTATGTGATTTTGGCAGTGCAAAAGTCTTGGTATGCTTTGCTCCTTGTTCTTTTCATTGTTTGGTGTATATCTTTGCTTTTATTTTTACTGGGATGCTGTTTCTTCTGACAGGTTAAAGGGGAGCCAAATATATCTTATATCTGCTCTAGGTATTACAGAGCACCTGAACTTATATTTGGAGCAACGGAATACACCGCAGCTATTGACATCTGGTCTGCTGGCTGTGTCCTTGCTGAGCTATTGCTTGGACAGGTAGGAAGCTTTTGTGGACAAGGTTGATTTGGTTTCTTTTACATATATGATCTCCCTAACTAGCTTAATAAATTTATCGATTATGCCAGCCTCTATTTCCCGGTGAGAGTGGAGTTGACCAGCTTGTGGAGATTATCAAGGTAAATTTAGTATCTTGAACCATTTAATAGCCCTGTCTACACATTATCAAGTGGATTTTTTTACTCACTTAAAAAAGCTGTCTACTCTTTGGTTAAATGTGCGTTTCTGTTGGAACTTACCTTATCCTTGACTGATAATGCCATTATTTTCCAGGTTTTGGGCACTCCAACAAGGGAGGAAATTAAGTGCATGAACCCGAATTACACAGAGTACAAGTTCCCTCAGATTAAAGCTCATCCTTGGCACAAGGTCTAGATTGGTATTTCATGGTTTGTGTTATTTCATTCTTATGACTCGTATCATCCATTAACTTCTGTTTGTTTCATGCTTAGATGTTCCACAAGCGCATGCCTCCTGAAGCAGTTGATCTGGTTTCTAGGTTACTGCAATATTCCCCTAACTTACGGTGCACAGCTGTGAGTATTTTTCTGGACTAATACACCGCTTCATCTGACCATATAAATTCGTGAATCCATCGCAACCTTCTTTAATTTTCTAATGTTTCTTTGCCTAGCATTGCTTTTTCTACTTGATTTTGAAAGACTGATGGTCAGATACTTTACACAATTGTAACTTCTTTAATTTTCTACTTGTTTGATGCTTTTACCTGATGCTGATTGTAGAAACTGAGCTTGTTAGGTGCTCATTGTGATCAAATACTCTGTCTTTGTTTGATTCAATGCTTCCTTGCTAATATTTGCTTGCTTTGGTTGGCAGCTGGATGCCTTGACGCATCCCTTTTTTGATGAGCTCCGTGCCCAAAGCACCCGTTTGCCAAATGGGCGTTTCCTTCCACCGTTATTTAACTTCAAATCTCATGGTATGAAATTATTATAGAGCAAATTGTATTTTACAAACCTCAGTCTATGAACCATTAACCCCTTGTGCTTACTGTTTCATGTTTTTCCTGCTGCCGCTATTCAACTAGAATTGAAGGGGGTGTCAGTTGAGATGTTGGTCAAATTGATACCGGAGCATGCAAGAAAGCAATGTGCCTTTCTTGGTTTATGATTTTATGTAATGTAACAAACTCAGCAAGTGCTGTCCCAATCTGGAAGCTATGATTGTTCTCTCCTATCTATGCTGTTTGGTTCTCTATGTATCTTTGTTGTATCCCATTGTTATATTATGTAAACGCAGATTTAGAGACATGCTACTTGATATTTGCCCGCCATGGCTGGGTGGCCTCATTACCTTGTGTACCTTGTTCCTGTATCACAGAATATTGTAATGTTACCTAAAGATCAAATGTGATTTAGCGTTGGTGAAGAGGGGCGGCAGTTGTTCCATTGCTCTCTCTCTATTTTTCGACCAAAAAAAAAAAAAGAAAGAAAAGAAGTAGGTCTTGTTGTTTGTGGTGGTTTGCTGTTGAACTGAGTTCTTGGAAATTGAATGCAAAATTTCCACAAGGACTTTGCCTGGTTAACCAAGATTGTTGAGAAAAACTTTGAATGGATTAGAGTGAACCTTGTTATATATCCTGGATTTGCATTGCCACCACTTCATATATCTGCCACACTTTTGTTCTCTTTTTTGAGAGTGAATTTTATTCTTAAACCAACCTTTAACTAATTTTGGACTAGAAGATTAACGCATGGAAATTGAGATTTGGATTGGCTGGAAAGCATCCAACAATTGTTGCTTTGGCAGTCCTTTGGCTTCAGAGTAGAGGAAAACAAATAAAACAAGAAAGTAAATTTTGAGCATGCAAGTGAATGTGTGGGATAAATTTTTTTATTTTTTGTAACAAAGACCATGTCCCCGTGAGAAACATCCTTGAAGAGAAACCAAAACTAAGAGGGTTTCCCTTGCATATAAATGCTCATTTTCCACAAAATGATTTGTTTCGATGACTCTTTTGGCCTCTTTAGCTCCTCCTCTTCTCATCTTAATCATTAATCATTGTTACTGTCATCCATTAATCACTTTCTCTATACCTCGAAATCCTCCTTGTAGAAGCAATCCATTTGTCTCTGAAACCTGATGCACAGTCACTCTCACCATCACCATCATCAACATCATCCATTTCTTTCTAAACAGTTCACACTTTCGACCTCTTAAGTTTTCTCCTTTGAATCATAAGACTAACATTCCATAGATCTCTACAAGTGGTAATCCTTTAATTTCAATCTTTTATCTGGGTTTTGTTCGTTTTTTCATAATTCAATAATTCAAGCACCAGATTTAGCTCCAAATTCTTGACCTTTTTTTTTTTTTTTTTTTTTTTTTTTTTGTGGGGCTGTGTAGCTGGTTCTGAAGATCAAGACTTTTGATGGCAGAAGTTGAGATTTATTGGCTTTTTATCAGATAAATGATTCCTTATTACTGAAGTGAGGTCCATTTGAGATTTTTCAAAGAGAGTAGGTGATGGATCAATCTTTCTTTGATTACTCGTATGATCGTTCGATGTTTCTGGATGTGAAGTTATTGACGAGTTTTTTTGTTTTTTTTTTGATTCGTGAGTGCAGGAATGTTCTGCTCCTGCTACAGGGGAGACATAAATATGTAAGCTCTAATCGAATTCTCTGTTTCGGTTCTGACAAAATGAATGGAAGTGAAAAAGGAACTGTAAAAGTTTTGAATTTAGAATGTTTCCCTATCTGGGAATGGATATGGTTAAACAATAAACTTAAATTCCAAAATCAGGTCTTTTTCAAATTGAACAGACTGAGATGTGCATAGGAGATGCTTCAAATTTAGGTTATGAATTAAGATCTGATATTGATAGCTCTTTAATCAAGTGTGTCAAGATCCAGAACAGTTTTTAAATTTTTGCAACTTTGGAAGTTGTGCTTGTTGAAGTGTGTGTAATATTTTACTGGTTTTCTGATTTTGCAAATTTGTTGATCATGGCTAATCAAAGTGCATCCAGGTCAACCTTTTGCCATATGGAGAGAAGGAGTGAACTGATGGCTATTTGTTGTTTGTCACAGTTTTTGCTGATCATCAAGCGCAACTTGCTTAATTGTTTAGAAACCAAGATCTGTTTTTGAACTACGTGCAATGGCTGAAAATAGGAATGCTAATGCAAAACCCTCAAGTGGGAAGCCTTCAGGAGCTGCTAATCCTTATGCGATAGATTTGGATAACTTCACTAAGCGCTTGAACATGTTGTATTCTCATTGGAAGGAACACCACAATGACCTATGGGGTGCTTCTGATGCTCTTGCTATAGCAACGCCTCCGGCTTCAGAGGATCTCCGGTATCTGAAGTCATCAGCACTGAATATTTGGTTGGTTGGATATGAGTTCCCAGAGACGATTATGATCTTCCTGAAGAAGCAGATTCATTTCTTATGTAGCCAGAAAAAGGCTTCTTTGCTTGATGTTGTGAAGAAGTCTGCCAAAGAGGCTGTTGGTGTTGAAGTTGTGATACACGTGAAGACCAAAAGCGATGATGGAAGTGGGTTGATGGATATCATTTTTCGTGCAGTTCATGCTCAGCCAAACTCTAATGGCCATGATGCTCCTGTCATTGGACATATAGGAAGAGAAAGTCCTGAAGGGAAGCTTTTGGAGACATGGGATGAAAAACTAAAGAATGTTAATTGTGAGCTAAGTGATGTAACAAATGGGTTCTCAGACTTATTTGCTGTCAAAGACAGCACTGAGCTTACAAATGTAAGGAAAGCAGCATTCTTGACTTCTTCAGTAATGAAGCAGTTTGTGGTGCCAAAGCTTGAAAAGGTCATTGATGAGGAGAAGAAGATCTCCCATTCTTCATTGATGGATGAAACAGAGAAGACAATATTGGAACCTGCAAGAATTAAGGTAAAGCTGAAGGCAGAGAATGTCGATATTTGCTATCCTCCAATTTTTCAGAGTGGAGGAGAGTTTGATCTGAAACCGAGTGCTGCAAGCAATGATGAGAACCTCTACTATGACTCTACTAGTGTTATCATATGTGCAATCGGGTCCCGGTACAACAGCTACTGCTCAAATGTTGCAAGAACTTTTTTGATCGATGCCAATCCGATGCAGAGTAAGGCATACGAGGTCCTCCTTAAGGCCCACGAAGCAGCAATCAGTGCATTGAAGCCTGGGAACATAGTCAGTGCTGTGTATCAAGCAGCACTCTCTGTGGTCGAGAAGGATGCTCCCGAATTAACTGCAAACTTGACCAAAACTGCTGGAACTGGAATCGGCCTTGAGTTTCGTGAGTCGGGGCTTAGTCTTAATTCCAAGAATGATCGAATTCTGAGACAAGGAATGGTTTTCAATGTGTCTATTGGCTTTCAGAACTTGCAGGCAGAGACCAAAAACCCCAAGACCCAGAAATATTCTGTCTTACTTGCAGATACAGTGATTGTTGGTGAGAAATTCGCAGATGTGGTGACTTCAAAGTGTACTAAAGCTGTTAAAGATGTGGCATACTCATTCAATGAAGATGATCAGGAAGAAGATCGTCCAAAAGTCAAAGCTGAACATAGAGGGAGTGAGAACACCTTGTCGAAGGCAACACTTAGGTCAGACAACCATGAAATGTCAAAGGAGGAGCTTCGAAGGCAGCACCAGGCAGAGCTCGCCCGCCAGAAGAATGAAGAGACTGCTAGGAGGCTTGCTGGTGGGGGTTCTGGTGCAACAGATAATCGAGGTGGTGCAAAGACAATTGGTGATTTAATTGCATATAAGAATGTCAATGATCTCCCCCTCCACGAGAGTTTATGATCCAGGTTGACCAGAGGAACGAAGCCATACTATTACCAATTCATGGAAGAATGGTTCCTTTCCATGTGGCCACTGTGAAGAGTGTGTCTAGTCAGCAGGATGGTAACCGAACTTGCTACATACGGATAATATTTAATGTACCTGGCACCCCTTTTAGCCCTCATGATGCAAACTCCCTCAAGTTTCAAGGGTCAATATATTTGAAGGAGGTTTCGTTTCGTTCGAAGGACTCTAGACATATAAGTGAAGTGGTACAGCAGATTAAAACCCTACGCCGACAGGTTACTTCTAGAGAATCCGAGAGGGCAGAGAGAGCAACCTTAGTAAGTCAGGAAAAGCTTCAACTCTCGTCTGCCAAATTCAAGCCAATAAAATTGTTTGATCTGTGGGTCCGTCCTCCTTTTGGTGGTCGTGGAAGAAAATTGACTGGTTCACTTGAAGCCCACACAAATGGCTTTCGCTATTCAACTTCAAGGCCTGATGAACGTGTTGATGTAATGTTTGGTAACATTAAGCATGCATTCTTTCAGCCAGCAGAGAAGGAAATGATTACTCTCCTGCACTTTCATTTGCATAATCACATAATGGTGGGGAACAAAAAGACCAAGGATGTGCAATTTTATATTGAGGTAATCGATGTGGTCCAGACAATTGGAGGGAGCAAAAGATCAGCCTATGACCCTGACGAGATTGAGGAAGAACAGCGTGAGAGGGATCGAAAGAATAAAATAAACATGGACTTCCAGAACTTTGTGAATCGGGTGAATGATGTATGGGGTCAACCTCAATTCAAATCACTTGACCTTGAGTTTGATCAGCCTTTAAGAGAGCTTGGGTTCCATGGGGTTCCCCACAAAGTTTCAGCTTTCATAGTTCCAACATCAAGTTGCTTGGTTGAGCTGATAGAGACACCTTGTGTGGTGATAACTCTGAGTGAGATTGAGATAGTTAATCTGGAGAGAGTTGGCCTTGGGCAGAAGAATTTTGATATGACTGTCGTCTTCAAGGACTTTAAACGGGACGTCCTTCGAATAGACTCTATACCCTCTACATCACTAGATGGCATAAAGGAGTGGCTTAACACGACCGACCTCAAGTATTATGAGAGTAGATTAAATCTGAACTGGCGGCCTATACTGAAAACTATTACTGATGATCCAGAAAAATTCATAGAGGATGGTGGGTGGGAATTTTTAAACATGGAAGTTAGTGATTCAGATTCTGAAAACTCAGCAGACTCGGACCAAGGGTATGTGCCTTCAGATGTGCAATCTGACTCAGGTTCTGATGATGAAGATGATGACAGTGAGTCTTTGGTGGAGTCTGAGGATGATGAGGAAGAGGACTCTGAGGAAGACTCGGAGGAGGAAGAAGGAAAGACATGGGAAGAGTTGGAGAGGGAAGCAAGTTATGCTGACAGGGAGAAGGGGAATGATTCAGATAGTGAGGAGGAGAGAAAAAGAAGGAAGACCAAGGCATTTGGTAAGGCTCGAGAGCCAGCTCGAGGTCCAGCTCGAGGTCCCGCTCGACCACCAGCTAGACCACCAACTCGACAACCAGTTCGACCGCCACTTCGACCGCCAGCACGACCACCAGCTCGACTAGTAGCTCGACCACCTGATAGAAGAAATGTGAGCAGCAGTCTTCCCAAGAGGCCCAAGCTAAGGTGACCAAAGGTGCCTATACACCTATGCTTTGTTAAACTAGCAGCTGCAGCAACTGTAGATGGTAGTTGCATAATCTAGCCAGAATAATCTCTTGCAGGGAAGCATATGTTTTGGATTTTTCTCCTTTTAGTTTTTTGTATTGTTATTTTACATGCTCGTTGGACAAGCTGGTTGAATTATAGACTATTTACTTGTAAATTAGTTTTGAAACTCAGAGCTATAACCAATAGTTTACTTGTAAAATAGTGGAATTAAAATTCAGAGAGGTTTCTGTATCTTTTTTCTGCTTCTTTTTGGTTTTTACCTTGAATTTCTACTTGTGAATGTCCTCCTTGGATCATTTCCTTTTCGGCAATTAGAATATGAAAAGTTGCGTTTTGTATTTTCAAATTCCATTTCCACATTTTCGTTTTGCCAAAAGTCACTGGTGGTATTGGAGGCAAGATCAACGTGTTGTGTGTAAACCCACTCATTTTCATCACAGAAATAGTGCTTTCTTGTTTTTGCAGCATGTTATTGATGGGCATGTTCTGCTTCCTCTGGTTCTTAGTGTACCATCCGTGGCCATTGTTTGGAGCTGTTTTCTGTTTTGAAAGAGTTGATCTTATTTCAATTACAGATTCGTTGCAGCTCTCAATCCATTCATCCATCAAGAAAGTTTCTCTATTTTTCTCTGTTAAACAGGAATCAGCAACATGCTCGTGTTTCCGGAAGAGGGTATGGCTCCATTTCTTCAAGGCTTTTTTCTCTTTGATTTTATGGATGGCTGAAGTGTTACTTTCTTTTATAGCCAACTATTTCCATAATTATGTTTCTCTGTGTCTCTTAGCTTGGATAATTTAATTTTTTTTCCTTAAAATTTTATCGTATCATTTCCCTATTAATTCTTTACATCTTTTCTCTCCTGTTTAGGCCATTTTGATGAGATGTATGCAGCAAAGAAAAGAGGTGGCTCGTGTTCTCGGACATCATTGCATTTTAACCAGGCACTCCTTGCCAAACAAGGGTGGGGACTGGAGACTAGTGCAACATGGTGCAGTATTTTGAAGACTCTCCTGGCACGAATCGTCAAACCAAGATACCAACCAACAAGCACTTTCTGCCCCACATGTCTGCGGTATCGGCTTAGTTATCCATGGTGCAGCATTTTGGAAGATAAACAGCTACTGGATTATGGTCAGCTGTGGAGGATAATATGGACAGAGACAGAATTCGGGACTATGATTTGTTGCCAGACCAAGCTACTAGCAAAATCTCTTCCAGAATTTCTCTGAAGATGCAAGTTCTTGGATGTTGGAATGAGCAGTGATAAATACAATATTCCAAGGGGCAGCAGCTCAGGTCATCAAGACTTTTCCTCTTTAACTATGGCCTTCACCCTGATTCACTGTTTTGAAGGAGAACTAAAAGACAGGTAAAAAGACTAAATAATTAGTTTTTGAAAAAAATTGGACTAATAAATTTGTTTCTTGAAAATAGAGGGACTAAATTTATAATTTACTAAAAAAAAGGACTAAATGAAGAAAGCTTCTGTTTTCTTGTTGCAGGAAATATTATTATTATTATCATTAGTTTTTTTAACTATTTTTATAACACCTAAGGATTAGATTTTTATAAAATTGTAGGCTAGATATCTAAAAGTTTATGTGCAAGTGTATATAATTTAGGGCAAACCTTAAAAATGTCATCTCAATTATAAAGGTAATCTCAACTTTGCTTCAAATAATTTTTTTCATCAATTTCATCTTCCAAGTTTTGAAAATTTTCAATTAAGTCTTTATATCCATATTTCGTTGTAGATTCCATCCTAATTGTATCTTTTTACTAGTAAGAAACCAGGTTATTTTAGAAAGAAATAAAACATTTTCTATTACGGAATACTAAAATAAGATCCCAATTGAAAAATCAAAATTTTTTGGAAACAAAACTGATACAAAAATCTGTTTCCAGAAAAATTTATAGTAATCCAATAGTAGAGGATGGGAGAGATTTTTTAGATTTTCCCTAAAACTTATTAAGTTTTTACATATTATATTTATATAGTATGAACCCTAAACCAAATTTTTTTCCAATTTTACTATGAGATACAATTAACCAAAAGTGGCTGGTTGGTTCTGTCACAGCAGCAGTTGCAAGGCATCCAATTTCAACCATAATTACTGTTGCCATAACCATGATTGGTAAAGGACCAAGAACCAAATGATCAAGCTTTATGCTTTATGGCTTCCTACTTTTCAACTACCATGGCTTGCCCTACCAGTGCCAGGTACTAACAAACATCAAATGCTCGAACGGCAGAATCAGAAATAGAAGACATTAGATGCAAAGCTGAAGAGCAGATTTAGCTACACATGGAATTAACAGAGATTTTTGCATGTAAGAAACCTAGAAAATACTTTTCAGCCCAAGCTGCTTGTTGCAAACTACAGAACACAAACAGAGACGTGCTTTGCATTTATACTCATTCTCCATAGCAAATGGTTAAGCAGAGTATTTAAATCATCAAATCGAATCACTATCAATAGTAAGAATAGGTCATCACTAATCAATGGCTGGATCAGTTGAAGACTTGCAGCAGCTTGCTCATCCCCATCAGCAGCAAGAGCATCTAGTTTTGACAAGTCATGTGCACCATTATTGGCAGCCCTTTAGAAGGTGATGCAGGCTCTTTCTAGAGGCAGTGTTAGACATAGTTTTAAATAATAGCTATTAAGTTATATAACGATTGTTATATAATGGTTTCAGAGCATCGTTATTTTAGTGTTATAGTAAGCTATGATTATTTTTCAACCATTCGCGATTTAAAACTATGGACGTAGATACAGTAGGAGATGCATCTGCAGAGATGACAGGTTTCCCAAACAAGAAGGGAGTAAACCTCCTAAATAATTCACAGACAGAGACAACTGCTCTAGGTTCTTCAGTTCACACCAACCTGTAAAACGGATCATGTCTAGAAACAGTAATGAAAACTTTTATTGATGTAATTGTAGGTAGAGAGGGATGTTATTAAACCATGAAAGGATAGTGTGTGGTTGAGGTTACAACTGCTTAAAGTCAAAACTTGAAGTGCAGAAAATGCTCCAATGCTTTGAAATAGGTTTATTGGTAGCATATTTTTAAATAACAAACGGTTAAAAAAATGATGACAGTCGTCATGATTTATCACAACTTATTGCAGTAGTAAAATAATAATAATAAAATACTTTAAAATCGTTATACAACGGTCGTTACATAACGTAATAGTTGTTATTTAAATATATGATTAGAGAGTTGAGCCATTTAGGAATAATTCTTCAAGGTTGGTCAGGTAATAAAGTTTTATGAAAGAAGAAAACACTAAAGCCTTGCTATCTTGACCAACTGGTTGAATAATAGGTTAGTTTGTAACTTAAATTCTAAGTCTCGGAAGAAAAAATAGAGGAGGAAGTAACACCCAAATATGAAATGGATGTCATATCCTATACAAATCCAGCTTTGTGCAGATTGTGCTCAACGTAAAATGGGTGGCTTGGACAAGTCTTTTATGCAAGAAATTCAAGGAAGGCGCAATGCCATCAATTAACTTCACTCTATTGTCAAGGTCTCCTAAGTCTCCTCAATTAATTCCTTTTTTCTATAATGCACCAAAGTCTTCTTTTTGAAATAATTGAGCAAAGAAACTTCTTTCATACAGATAATTGTTCGATATTTAATTTTCAAAGAAGAGATAGCTAGCATCGTAACTAGTTAAGATGAGTTAAAATGTGGGAATGGATGGGGTTCATGACTATAAATTTAAATAATAATCGGTATGTAATGATTTCAGAATATTCTCGTTATCGTTATTTGTCATTATATAACTCGTCTGCGATTATTATTTTATTATTACGATAATTTGTGATCCGAAAATATAACTACAGCTATTTTTTCATTCTATGAAGCAAAACCAAAATAATTAAACTAACATGTAATTCTACGAGATAGAAGAAAAATACAATATGAAAAATAGACCAATCCAAGAACTTTTTACAAAATTATTGAGCAAGTTCACTATCCATTAGAGTGGCAATTTTGTAAATTTTTACAATGTCATTTTCGTAATTTTCTTATAGTTTTTCGGGCATGCATTTTCAAATTTTACGCTTCACGTTTTTTTGGTCCCTTATGATTTCAAAATGTATTTTTAAGTCTTCATATTTTTAAAAATATTTTGACATCTTATGATCGGTAAAGGACTAAGAACAAAATGATCTACTTTTCAACTGTCATGGCTTGCCCTGCCATTACCAGGTGCTAACAACATCAAATGCTCGAAGGGGAGAATCAGAAATAGAAAACATTAGATGCAAAGCTGAAGAGCAGATTTAGCTACACATGGAATCAACAGACTAGCAGAATTCAACCGTAAAAAACGTAAGGCGGATGGCGAGAGTGATCACGAAGGATCTTTAGGATCTCATACAAATAAAAGGCAGAGATGAGGTAAAGATTAATAGTTTGTTGTTATTGATCATAATTGTTATGTAGAAGTTAGCAAGTTAGCAAATTCTCACTGCCATTATTTGCATTTCAGGGAGGCTTAAAGTAAATAATTGTATCCAAAGATTGCTCCTGAAACAAGACAGGTGCACCATTTTCTTTCCTGTAGACTATATACAGCGAATATGTGTTAAAGTTCAAATCTGAACAGGAAGTAGCTCTTGCAAACAAAAGAACTTTTCAGTCTGTCCAAAACGATGATGCCCATCTTCTAATTTAACTTGATTGATCGCTTCATTTGGCAAGTAAAATTGTGTAAGGATTCATCATTCTATTGTAAATGACAGCAAAGTTTGCAATGTTTTCCATTTGTATATCAATTGTAAATCTTTTAAGCGAAAAAGAACCAAAAAAAGTTAAAAAGAACGTCGAATAATAAAAATTCAAATTATAAGAAAACCAAAATAATTAAAGTAATACCTCCGTTCTACAAGCTAGAAGAAAAACACAATATGACAAATAAACCAAGAGTAATATTGTTAGGGGAGTAGGGGTAATAAAACTTTTTACAAAATTATCATTGTTAAATGATGTGGTATTTGTGATATAGAAGCCTTTTCAAATTAGAAAATATGAATTTTATCACATTGAATTAGATAATCACAATTATAAAATGAAATAAATAATAAATAATTCAATCGTAACATGCCACATCAAAAAAATTTTATGGTACGTATTTAAAGAGTAACTATCGATACTATATAATTGAGAGATAGACACATACAAAAGAGAAAAAAGAAAAAAAAATTAAATAAAAATTAGAGTATGAATAGAAATATTTTTATCATTTTTAATGAATTTGGCTGTGATTTTTAAGTATCTATAATTATTTTTAAAATTTTTTTATTATTATGGATGTGGATTAGCATGATTATAGGTTGCTTGGAAACTTCATTTTCCAAGTCGGGAGGAAAACGACCAATTATTAATCTTTACAAAAAGTAGTAATCAAAAGTTACTGGCATATCTGATTTTTTCATGTTTTTATCTTTTCCACAATAACAATTATTTTCTGTGTCCTGATTTAAGTTACTAATTTCTTTAAAAACAAAGAAATTATTGTGATAACAATTATTGTTATCACAATAACAATTAAAATCAATTTCTTCTTTATTTATACTCAAAATTCATCTTCTATATCAAAGAAACCAACAAGGAAAAAAACAAAAACAAAAACAAAATTAATCATTCATCTGTTCCTATATACCCAAAAAAATGCATTTAAAATCACTCATCAGTTTCTCAACTTGCAAAGAAACAAAGAGAGTGCAAAAAGGTCTTGGTCTTGGTCTTCTCAAATAATTTCAGGTTTGCATTTATGCTGACAAGTCTTCCTTGGATAAATCAGCAAAGAAAATTCAACATTAATTGCTGTTTCTTGACTTTCCTTTAGTCCTAGTGACAAGTGGGCAAGACTATCTATGATTTTAAGTGAAGTGGTAAAAAGAAAAAATATTTTAAAATATCAGATCCGTAGTTTGATTATCATTTTTATAAAGTTAGGTTTAGAGGATCTAATTTTTAGAATCGATAAAATATTAGACATGATTCAATATTAATATAATTTAAAAAATGATAAATTTAATATCAATTGATATAAAAACTAATCCAAATATATATATATATATATATATATATATATATATATATATATATATATATATATATATATATAAAGTGGGCAAGTGAGAAGCATCATTATTTGAGAAGATTTTGACTACGAGTCACCGATTCGTAATTTAGAGATTAAACTCACCCTTTGAAATTACTACTAACATGACATATCATATTAATTACATCTTACCCTTTTAAATTTTAATAAATGACTAAAATCATTTCATTTATTTATTTACTTTGAAAATTGTTAAAATTATCTAATTTAATCTAATAACATTATGTTAAATGAAAAAATTTCTCTTTAAATCGAACTTGTTATGGATGTTAAAAACATTCCAAATTTATATAATCTCTCATGACGACTCTAAATTTTTTAACCAAGCAATTTTTTTTTTGGAAAAAATCATAACTAATCACCTTTTTTCAAGATTTAATTAATAAAGAAATCGATGATATTCTTCAAAGGATTCAAAAAAGTTCTTCAATGTTTTATACTGTAAATTTTAAATTTTCTTGTGTTGATCATGTGAAATTCTAGATATTATGAAAGTATATTATAATTTAAAATTTATTAAGTTTCATATAATTGTTACTAGATTTTGATGAATTACTTGAGGAGGAGACCTTGACTCAAAATGGAGTTTCATAGCATTGCATGCTGCACGAGTAAATTATAAATTAGTCCTCTTAGTTTTGAAAAATAAATTAATCTTCTATGTTTCAAAACTAATTATTTAATCCTTTTGTTCATTCTACATTCTTTCTTATTTTTTTTCTTTAAATTTTTTTTAAAAAATTAAATATTATGAAAAGATTGATGAAAAAATAATTTTAAATTAAACGCGATCAATACTGGTCAAGGGACTAAATAATTAGTTTTTAAAGAAAAAAATACTAATTAATTTGTTTCTTAAAACTAGAAGGACTAATATAGAAAAGAAAATTCAATAACACAAAATTTTAGTATAAATAGGTAGTAAGGTTTCTGTGAAAATGTACATATGCAACAGCTTGCTTTGTAATCGGTGAAGCAAGAAAGAGTATCATTAAGATGAGGCAAATACTGTGGGTGTTGATGCTGGTCATGATGACTTTGGCTTTGCTAAATATTGAGCAGTATCATTGTTGTTTGGAGGAAGAAAGGACTGGTCTCTTGGAGATAAAAGCTTGGATCAATCACCCCGATGGCAGTTCCTTGCCAGACTGGGTGGAAAATACAGACACCGACTGCTGCAAGTGGAATGGGGTTCAGTGTGACAGCACTACAAATCGAGTCACCAAACTCAATCTTTTTAATGAAAGGGAAGATCGGAGGATAGGGGATTTGTATCTCAATGCATCTTTGTTTTTACCTTTCAAAGAATTAAAGAGTCTTGGATTAGGCTCGAGCGGATTAGTTGGTTGCTCAGAGAATCAAGGTTTTTTGCCTTCTATTCTTTTAGTAGAAACATGAATTTATATTTTGTGTACCTTTACATTGAATATATATATGTCTGTAATTATTTTGCTTATGAGAATCTTTGTTTCAGGTTTCGAAGTCCTAGCATCAGAGTTGAAGAAACTGGAGAAACTTGACTTGAGTGGGAATACATTTAACGACAGCATTTTATCATCTCTGCAAGGACTTTCATCTCTCAAGATTTTAAACCTAAGAAGTACTAAGCTGACTACAATATCAACCGGTAAAGTTGTCAATCATACCTCAAATGGCATCCTTTAGTTAGGCATGCATAATTTATCCAAGTTCTAACGGCTACGATATTAGTTAACCATAGTTCTGTAGTAGGAGTTTTGAGTTTCCAGCTGAAAGTTTTCTTGTGGCCACCATAAATTTTAAGCCTGTTTTTCTGATTCTAACAGTGTGGACGGCTTTAATCAGCTCAGTCCATTCAAACATCCAAACCTTGCAAAAGATGTTGATTGTGGAATCTTTGATTAATTATTGATTGTATTCTCTCCTTTCTCTATATTATTGATTTAGGTTTGATTTATCTTATCTTTTTTTCACAGGGTTCTATAATTTGACCAACCTTGAGGAATTGTTATTAGATCGTTCTTCTCTCCCAACGAATTTTCTTCTGAAAATTGGAGCACTGTCTAATCTTAAGCTTTTATCTTTGACAGAAAGTGATCCCAATGGCCCCCTATCTGCTCAAGGTAATTATGATCAAATATTTCTGTAGTTCCAACAACTGTGCGTATCTGTCTTTTAATGAATTAGAAGGGTTCCTACTTCCTCCTAGTTTGTTTGAGAAACTTGTCGTCACTGCAACTGTTGGATGTCTCTTACCAATTTTCGCGTTGGAGTATTTTCGGACCAATTTTTGCATCAATCTTTTGAATTTCTCCACGTTCCTTTTATAATTTTGTTATACATATGCTTCTGATTATAGGATTGCATAATATGACCAAACTTGAAGAGCTGCTATTGGATTCTAATTCTCTCCCCTCAAGTTTTCTTCGAGATATCGGACCACTGCCTGCTCTTAGAATTTTGTCTCTGCAACAATGTGAGCTTAATGACATCCTGCCTGACCAAGGTAAAGTTCATCCCCATCGAAAATTCATTATGGAATAGGTCACTCGAGATATAGAACATATTTGCTTTATTATTATTAATTCCCTAACTTGAATATATGGAATTATTGTGCAGGCTTGTGTGAAATGAAGAATCTTGAACAACTATATCTCTCTCGAAACAAACTACAGGGTTTACTCCCTCCTTGTTTGGGAAACCTATCATTTCTACAAATATTGGATGTATCTGACAACCAATTTGTGGGAAATATTGCCTTTAGCCCTCTTTCCCATCTTACGTTGCTTGAACTCCTCTCAATTTCGAATAATAACTTTCAAGTTCCAGTATCATTTGGTTCATTTATGAACCACTCACACCTCAAGTTCATTGCATGCAATAACAACGAGCTAATACCTGCATCCAATTTTCAGCCCTCACTTCCGAAGTTCCAGCTTCAGTTTTTTAGTGCTTCAAACTGTATTTCAGAACCACTCAAGGTTGAATTTCCTAATTTCCTTTATAGCCAATATGATTTGAGGGCTTTTGATCTATCCAACAACAATTTCTTTAAAACATTGTTCCCGTCATGGCTGGTAGAGAACAATACGAGGCTAAATCGATTGTTTTTGAGAAACACCTCACTTATAGGTCCTTTGCAGTTGCCACCACATCCAGCACCGAACCTTCGGATGTTGGATATCTCCCACAACAGCATGCAAGATCAGATTACAAGAAACGCATGTTTGATCCATCCAAATATAAAATACTTGATGATGGCTAACAACAATTTCACAGGTTGTTTACCTCCTTGTTTTGAGAATATGAGCTCTCTTGCATACTTAGATCTGTCCAACAATCTTTTGTCTTGTGAAAAGCTTGAGCACTTGCCTACACTTGACTCCTCGTTGATGTTTTTGAAGCTGTCCAATAACTATTTCCAAGGGCGAATACCACCTTCAGTTTTCAACATGACTCGTCTGAATTACCTCTTTCTTGATGGAAACAACTTCGGAGGGCAACTATCTGATAATTTTTCCATCAGATTGTCACTTCTGGTGTTGGATATCAGTAACAATCTTTTGTCAGGCATGCTTCCAAGGGGGATAGGGAACTTATCATCTTTGACGGCAATTGATTTGTCCAAAAATAAATTTGAAGGTACTATTCCAGTAGTATTTTTCAGATCTTTGTGGCTTCAATTTTTGGATCTTTCTGAAAACAATCTGTCTGGGTCAATACCATTGGACTTCAATGCACCACTTCTACGCTTTGTTCACCTAAAAGGAAATCAACTGAGTGGTCCATTGACATATGCATTTTGTAATAGCTCTTCTTTGGTGACATTAGATCTCGGAGATAACAATTTTACTGGCTCCATTCCGAATTGTGTTGATAGCCTTTCAGAATTAAGCATTCTTCTTCTAAGAGCTAATCGTTTTGGTGGTGAACTTCCCGTTCAGTTATGCTGGTTGAAGAGATTAAGCATATTGGATCTTTCACAAAATAACTTTTCTGGTCTGCTACCCTCATGCTTGAGCAACTTAAATTTTACACCATCTGATCAAAAGTCTTCTTCCGTTGCTAATTCTGTGTTTGTGTTGGATGATAACTTGGAACTAATGGGATCCGTAAAAGGAGAATATTCAGAACACGCAAGTTTAGATCCTTTTGGCCTTATTGCAGGGCCACAAATCAGTTTTGAACCAGTTGTAGAGTTTACAACAAAGAGGAATTACTACACTTACAAAGGTAATATCCTTAGTTATTTGTCTGGTATGGATCTTTCTGAGAACAGATTTACAGGAGAAATCCCAACAGAATTGGGAAACTTAACTGGGATATATGCTCTAAATCTGTCACACAATAACCTTACTGGACCCATTCCTTCATCTTTCTCTAACTTGGAGCATATAGAGAGCTTGGATCTCTCCTACAACAACTTGGCCGGCGTCATCCCCATGCAGTTCACAGAATTGACGACTCTGGAAGTTTTCAATGTGTCATACAATAATTTGTCAGGCAAAACACCAGAGTTTAAAAATCAATTTGGGACCTTTGATGAGAGCAGTTATAAAGGAAATCCACTTCTTTGTGGACCTCCATTGCAGAACAGTTGCAGCAAAACAAAACCGCCATCTGAGATGGTGCCTAATGAAGATGATGGTGGCTTTATAGACATGGACAGTTTCTATGCAAGCTTTGGCGTGTGTTACATAATTGTTGTGTTGACAATCATAGCAGTACTTCGCATAAATCCTCATTGGCGACGCAGATGGTTCTACTTCATTGGAGAATGCATCGACAATTGCTATTGTTTTTGGGTTATTAATTTCCGCAAGTTGTCCAGCTTCAGAAAGTGATAATATCATGAACATGTGGGTTGTTTTCTAAATTTGTTGTTATTGGTTGCATACTAATTCAACAATTTGTTATATTCGTAGTGAAAAAGTATTCTGTTGTAGTGTTGTCATCATAACTTATATCTCTTTGTTGACATGAGTTCTGCTTGTGGATCTTTTTGTCGTCTTTTTATGCTTTGTATTCCATAGTCTGCTCTTGAATTGTTCAATTATGCTGTCCTAAATAATATGAACTTAATCATAAAAATAACAGTAAAAAACCTATATCTCCAACATATTTTTATTTTTTTAACAAGATAAAAACTTCAGATTTATGTCAGCAAAATGATAATCAAAAGATCTAAAACATGAATTTATTGGCCATTGAGGTATCATAAAACGCAATGAAATAACATAAGATGGAGCCATAATCATTTATGTAATTTACATACCTCTTGAGGGTACAAATTTGTTAATATCATTTCCTGTCAGATGCAGTTCCTCTAAGTTGCTCAAAGTGTATCAACAAATATATCTTTGAACTAGTGACATTTCCGAATCACATTATAGTATAAGTACAAAATAAGGCAACACAAAGACAGAACAGATGGGAGATAAAAACAGAAAGATTTTAATAACAGAGTGCAAAGGTGATGATGCACAGCACAAGTTTGTTAGGGACTGATCTCATTCCCAACAGAACTCCTACTTAATGACCAAAAGGCAACAGAAAACAAAATCTTAAAAAACTACCACTACCAATGGTTCTAACCCAAGTTAGAGGTCTGCATTCTAATGCAGCTGTGCTGCTACCTGCTAAATAGATAAACATAAATAACAAAGGAAAACGATATTTCCTATCAAATCTACCGGAACTTGGGACGCTTGGGCATGCTACCAGGGACAGCTCTAGGAGTGGGTCTAGCAGCAGGTCTCGCAGCAGGTCTCGCAGCGGGTCTAGCAGCAGGTCGAGACTTCCCAAAAGCCTTCACTTTCCTTCTATTCCTCTCCTCCTCACTGTCTGAATCATCACCTTTTTCCCTGTCTGCATTGCTTGCTTCCCTCTCCAGCTCCTCCCATGTTTTACCCTTTTCTTCCTCAGAGTCTTCCTCATCATCTTCCTCCTCATCATCTTCAGACTCCACAAGTGATTCACTGTCAGAGTCATCATCTTCCGACTCAGAGTCAGGTTCTGCATCTGATGGTACGTAACCCTGGTCTGAATCCTCTGAGTTGCCAGAATCTGAATCACTAGCTTCCAAATTAAGAAATTCCCACCCGCCATCATCAATGAAGCTCTGTGGGTCATCAGTGATTGTCTTCAGTATCTGCCGCCAGTTAAGATTCAATCTGCTCTCATAATACTTGATGTCTGTTGTGTCAAGCCATTCTTTGATGCCATCAAGTGATGTAGATGGGATAGAGTCAATCCTGAGGACATCGCGCTTGAAGTCCTTGAAGACAATGGTCATGTCAAAGTTTTTCTGTCCAAGACCAACTCTCTCCAAATTGACAATCTCAATCTCACTCAGGGTGACAACAAGGAAAGGAGTCTCAACTAGCTCAACCAGGCAGCTTGAAGTTGGGACAATGAAAGATGTGACTTTGTGGGGCACGCCATGGAAGCCAAGCTCTCTCAAAGGCTGATCAAACTCGAGGTCAAGTCCACTAAATTGGGGCTGGGTCCAAAGGTCATTCACCCGATTCACAAAGCTCTGAAAATCCAGGTTGATCTTATTCTTCCTCTCCCTTTCCCGCTGCTCTTCTTCAATCTCATCTGGATCATAGGCAGACCTCTTTCCGCCTCCCAAAGTCTGGACCACATCCATCACCTCAACATAAAACTGCACATCCTTGGTCTTC